GGACAAGTGCCACTGCAACACAGAATGCTCAGAGAACCTGAACTCTTAAACTCTGCAGGTCTGAAATTTACTGTCGGCCACTGTCGGGCCTGTCTGATGTTTCCAAGGGGATATTGGGTGCTGCAAATCGAAACTGAAGGGGCAAACTTATTAAAACCATTAAGCCTGTGATTGGTGTTTTTCTGTTATTTTAAAGGGACAAGTACTGGAGGAGGGGGCAGATGTCAAAACACTTGTACAATTTTAAAATGTCACAATTAAATGTGATTCGTTTCCCACAAGGTGTGGAATGGTTGAATTTATAAATCACATCAAGAAACATGGCCCTGACCGGTTTGGCTCAGTGGATAGAGCGTCAGCCTGTGGACTCAGGGGTCCCAGGTTGGATTCCAGCCAAGGGCATGTACCTTGGTTGCAGGCACATCCCCAGTGGGGTGTGTGCAGGAGGCAGCTGATGTTTCTCTCTCATGGATGTTTCTAACTCTCTATCCCTCTCCCTTCCTCTCTGTAAAAAATCAATAAAACATATTTTTTAAAAACTCCAACTATTAAAAAAAAACAACATATTCATGGAACCCAAGACTTAGTCTTGGGTAAATTTGCTTATACTTTTTTGAGAGATTAGTCCTGAAAAATGTAACCTGAGGAAGTTTGGATTATGTCATGATGATGATCATGTTAACATCTTGGAAAGAATTTAGGATTGTTGAATTATTTGTTTTAAAGTCTGTGTGTACATCTCCTGTGTGTTCATGGATAAAGAGATCCTTATAGATTTCAGTGTATTGAACATTCTCATTAGAGAAGAGATTAGAGATTTGGCTAACTGTACCATGTACAAGACAAAATTCGAGTTTAAGAATCACTTCTGGGAGATGAAAACCAAGTTTAAGGTGCAGAAAGTTTTAAAATAGCGGGCATCTTGGAGGTGAGCATTGTTTTCCAGCTTGTGCAAAAAAATTATAAAAGACATAATTTAAAATAAGATTTACTTCCTCCTTTAGGCACCTGGTCATTTGTCACTAGGACTGCAGAGAACTGCCAGGTTGCTGTGGGGTGCTTGGAAGACCTCGGTATTTCATCAGCTTGCAACTGATCACTGATTGCCTTAAGATCCGTTTAAGTTTTTACAAGTCGCTGTTATTTAAGTGGCCACATCTTTGCTGCCAGAAATTTGTATGTGTAGTAACTAAATTAGTGTTTAGAATGGCGAGGGAGGTTGAGTGGATGAAGGCACTCGATATTATTCAGCACTATGTCTTGCGATAGAAAATGCTTAAAAGTTTAAGTGATTGGAAACGAGGAATCTGCAGTTTTATGGGTGTAATCGAGAAGTCAGGCCTGTGGCATTGTATCTACAACAGAAATTCTGGTAATCACTGAAAATGAAAATCAGCATGTTTTAATCATGTAACCAGGAGGATCTAAGGCAGGGGACCTCAAACTTTTTAAACAGGGGGCCAGTTCACTGTCCCTCAGACCGTTGGAGGGCCGGACTATAGTTTAAAAAAAAACTATGAACAAATTCCTATGCACACTGCACATATCTTATTTTGAAGTAAAAAAACAAAACGGGAACAAATACAGTATTTGTATTTGCATGTAGCCCGCGGGCCGTAGTTTTGAGGACCCCTGATCTAAGGAATCATGTTCACAAAAGCTCTTCTCGGGTACAGACATCACAGCTTGGACAGGTCTATGGGGTTCAAAACACTACCCTTTTATCCTGCCTAGAGCTGAGTTGTCCATTGTAGCAACTCTGGAGGAATTAGAAACTGGATGCCTCAGACCTGGGGAGGGTAGGTGAGTCTGCTGGAAACTTATGAACATATTTATGAGCTCACTTGTTAATTGCTCTTACATTGTTATGGGCCACGATAAAGTTTAAGAGGAATTGGGACAAAGAAGAGAGCGACTAATGGTTAGAGGTTTGTGAACCACCTTAAAGGGATAACATCAGGGAACAAAAGGGCAACTACAGTTGCCTGTTCACTGTCTTTTCATTTTTCGTCCACTTTTATTTTCTGATTATAGACGTAGGACATTTATTCAGCTTCTATACTCATGTGTCTACCTGTACTGAGATGGCCCTGGTAAAGGTTACCAGTTCATCAGTAGTACAATGGAAGAGACCTTTAGTCTAGCAGTCATCTTGAGCTCCCCTTCCCCACCCAAGCCCCCCATTAACGAGTCTATGCTACATGACTCACAGAAATAGAAAGGAAGCTGACTTTAGGTCAGTATAACTTAAGCTTTTTTTTTTAAAATATATTTTATTGATTTTTTACAGAGAGGAAGGGAGAGGGATAGAGAGTTAGAAACATCCATGAGAGAGAAACACTGATCAGCTGCCTCTTGCACATCTCCTACTGGGGATGTACCCGCAGCCAAGGTACATGCCCTTGACCGGAATCGAACCCGGGACCCTTCAGTCCGCAGACCGACGCTCTATCCACTGAGCCAAACCGGTTAGGGCTAGGCTTTTTTATTTATTTATTTTTTAAAACAATGAGAGCGATGGCTCTATCAGTAGAATATTTTGTATGGACCTAAAATGAGTCCACAGACCCAGTAAAAGGTTCAAGGAGCAGAATAGCTGACTTAACCATATAACAAGCATTTGAGTGCCTTCTCTTGTCAGGCACTGGATTCAAGGATGAATCAGAAATATAGGATAACTGCCCAGTTGGACCTAACAGTATAGTGAAGGAGACAAAAGTGATCAAGCACATTTTTAAAAGTATATTTTTATTGATTTTTTTTTTTTTTTAGGAAGAGAGAGAGAAACATTGGCTGCCTCCTGTACACCCGCTCCTGGGGATGGAGCCTGCAACCCAGGCGTGTGCCCTGATCAGGCGTTGAACCAGTGACTTCTGGGTGCATGGGATGACACTGAGCCATACCAGCCGGGCGATCAAGCAGCATTTTTTAGAAGCATGTTCAAATAGGTAGCTACTATTTCCACAGGGCTCAGCTTGAGGAAGACATTGGGATTTAGAATCTTTGAGCAGGACGAGAGATTAGGCTGTCTGTTCAGCCTCATTCTTATTTTACCCATTCTCTGGTTTCAAATTTAGATGTTTTTGTAGTGCTTGCAGACCGACAGGAAAATAGTGACCATCTGACCATTTAGATGAGTAATTCTTAACCAGAGATCACCCTCAAAATCGTCTCAGGAGCTTTCACCAAATACACAGAACACCACCTGTCCCTGGGAGAAATGTGATTCTAGAAATAAAAGCACTTGAAAAAATTAGAATAACTACCTTCACATTGATGTTGTAAGCTATATTGCATCAATGAAATAGGAACAGATGGGTGTGAAAAAGGGACAACACAGGAAAGTTCTTGCAAATGACAGCAGCTATGGGCATAAAATGAGACGGCTGATAAAAGTGACACCGAGGGGGCTCAATGAGAGACGTGCAAGACAGAACCGTGGAAATCTCCGAGAATGTAGAGCAAAGGGATCAAGATATGGACAAGGGTAAGAATCACACAGGCATCCAAGAATCAGGAATCCATTTGTCTGAGAGCAACTTCAGAAAATAAGCAAACATGAAGACTAGAATAAAAAACTTCCGGGCCTGATGGTGAAAATTGGAGTTTGCAGATGGAAAGGGACAAGTGTCCAGCAGGAAAAATGAAGGGGGCGGGGGATGGTGGTGGGGGGGGACCTCCATAAATGGGGTCTCCAAGAAAAATAATTTACCAGAGAAAAACAGGTTACCTACAAAGGAACGTAACTCACTGGCATCAGGCTTCTCCAGAACAACTCCAGGTAAAAAAAAAATTTTTTTTTTCCCAGGTAAAATTTTAATGCCTTAAAAACGCCTGTGCGGGCGAGGGGGAAGAGGATGGTCCCAGTTCTGTTCCTGTAATTCTAAACCTCGCAATGCTAATGCCTAAAGACAAAATAAAAGCACGGTTTGCTTTCCATTCAGCTTTTCTGAAAAATTTACTTGAGAAAAAAAAAATCTATGAAAGTGGAAAACAAATACAAGAAATAGATACCTGTGTGTTTAGGTTGTTCCTTCGCGTCGTTTCCGCTTCTGGTCACGTGGCTGAGGTCAACGGGCCGCGCCGTCCCTACCCCCCGACTGCCTCGCGGGTCCGCAGACCGACACGTCACTCCTCGGCCCTCAACCTAACTGCCTCGAGCACGTTCCCTCGGCGCTCTCGCTCTCACTAGCAGGCCAATCACAGCTCGGCGGGAGCACAAAGTCCCGCCCCCCGGATGCTAAGTGACTTCTGCCTTGCCCATTTAAGAAGTGCGAGCGCGGCCTCGTTCCCGCCTCTGGGTCTGACAGACAGTTCCACGACCCTATCATTCTTCCGAAGTGGCGGGTCGACCCTGAGCCAGCCAATGGGGAGCCGTCCCGGAGGCGGACCTGGACTCTGCCAGGGTTGAGTGCGCCGCTGAGCGGATGGCCGTGGGAGCTGAGCGGATTCCCGAGCAACGCCGGCCAGGTGAGAAGGCCGCGGGATAGAACTGGAGGATAGCTGCAGGTGCAGCCCGGGGCGTCGGTGGGATTGAGGAAGTGCCGAAGGTGGGGCTCCAAGGGCGGAGGTGGGGATCGGAGGCAGACCGGCGAGCGTGGAGGAGGGGGCGTGGGGCGTGGTGGTGCTGGTGCTGGTGGGGTGCCCCGGGAATGGAAAGACGTGCAGGTCTGGGGAGCGGGTGCACTCCGGCAGGGAGTGCGTGGAGTTGCTGGGATCCTGGGATTGGTCCTGGGGGCGAAGGCGCTCAGGCTGCTGAGGTGGCGGTTGTCTCGCGGTGGGGCCGTCAGAGATTTCGATCCCGTGAGGATGGGAGACGGGTGCAGGGGTGAGTGGACCGGGGAGGAGGGGAGTGAAGGCGTGTGCGTGGGGGGCGGGGGGAAGGGTGCAAGCGAACGGGGTGGGGGGGGGGAAGGGGAGGGTGCTGTCTCCGGAACTGGAACCGGGGTGGGACGAGGGTGCCCGGCTTGCAGGCACGTTGGGGAGAACGGGTGCGGAGCGCTTAGGAGAAGCGCCTTTGCTCTTTCTTGCTCGAGGCTGTTGGAAAACGATCGGAGGGCGGCACAGCGAGAGCTCCCTCGAGGTCCTGCCTTGGGTTACCAGCCCCTGTGCTCAGCTTTCAGGCAGAGGATCTGCTGCCCTCCTTTCCGCTCTCAAACTCTTTCAGGTAGGGGGTCATGTCACCTCGGTAGCGGTGAAGTCTTTTGTTTCAGGCGTTCCAGAAAGCAAATAGGAACCGGAGGTATGTGGCTGGAATATTGACTTCCTGGAGTTAGGTGTTTCTTCTTGATTGCAAGATAAGGCTTTCCCCTGCGATTATCATTAAGCCCGTGTAAAACGGCACCTCTGACGGTTAATTATGGAGAAGATGCTTGGTTTCTCACTGTTGAGCTAGGAACATACGATTCTTCATGCCTTCCGCGCAGTCCGGTGTTATTCTCCCCCCCCCCCCCCACTTTCCTCTAGTAATAATTGGGGGTGGGGTGGGGGGATCAAGAGAGGCACAGGTTCCTTTTGACCCCCCTGCAGCCTTGGACTGTGTTGCATATCCTTGATTGTTGTGTTCTTGATCGCCGAGCCCTGGACCAGCTTGTGGTTTAGGAATACCTGCCATCAGCCCTGCTCTTTTAGTTGACCCTGCAGTCACTGGTCCTTGCAACAGAGGGAAGCTCGTAGCCAGCCAGTTGAAACCGAAATTTGGACCCGCAAATTGAGCTGACTCAGTCAGGCTTCTATTTCTCTGCTTTCTACGTTCACTTCTGTACCCACTGTTCATCCCTTGCTTGCTTTCGGACACTTTCGGACATTCCTGCCTCTTCTTGAATGCTCTTTCTCCTTGTAATTAGTTTTTCTCTGTTTCCATTTTTTTTTTCCTATTTTCTTTACATCTCTTCCTCCAACCCCCATTTTTCTATTTCTGTGCTTTCTCTGCACACTTGTTGTACCACACTGTTGCCAGTTTTGGGTATGCACTCGTTCGCTGTGAGGAAGTGGGAGGTGGAATTATGGTGATAGGTCTAATCATTCCTTTTCAGTCTTAACACATGCACCTGACTTGTGCCCACTTCCTTGCCAGGGGACCGTAATTCGGGCAAGACTCGGGTATTAGTATTAGCCCTGACCCTCTCTGGTGTGTTCCGTAGCTCCTGTCTCCTTCATGTTTCTCTGCCGCCATAAAATAGGATAAAACAGTGAATTGGGTAAATGGAAGGTGTTCAATATCCTATGGTCTTGATTTTTCCATTTCAGCTACTTGCGTGTCATCTGTTGCCACCCATCGATGTCAAGATGACTAAGCTGGGATTTTTGCGGTTGTCCTATGAGAAGCAGGACACGCTGCTGAAGCTTCTCATTCTGTCCATGGCTGCTGTGTTGTGTGAGTGTGCATGGGCACTCTTTCTTGGGGGGATGGAAAGGAGAAAATCTTGAAAAAAAAATCAAGAATGGCTTTCTTATTCTTTTCAGCAGGATGTGTTCCTTTTACTGTCCTCCATCAGTATAATTTTAGGAAGGCAAAAGAACAAGTGTTATAAAAGGACTAGTGATCCTCTGGGAAAGAATGGGGAGCATGCTGTGCTAGTTCAAGAGATACTGAGGACCCTTGGGTACTGAATTTTCAAAAAGACAGTTTGGTTGCCTACCTTAGTATTTCTGTCTTTAGATATTTTAGCTTTCTATGAGCTGTAAGAATAGTCTTGATTGCCTTACCTCTTAGTTTGCTCCAAAGTTAAGGTTAGTTGTGGGGAACAACATATATAGATGATGACCATGTAAGTTGAGTGCAGCGTTAATAGGTGGATGCGTTATTAGAGGCATTGATGGGAACTAGTTAAGTGTGTCCTGCCTGAGTGGAAGATGTAGGTGTGATTGTCAGGAGAAAGTGAACTTCTCTTTATTTTATGTGGGAGGGATGGATAAATATTCAGGGGTCATTTTATATTTGTGACTTCTGTGCTGGATAATACTATTATCTTTAAAATTCTATTGTCTGCTATTATTCCTGGCACATTACCATTGAAATATTAATTCTCTGGTATTTGCAGCATTCTCCACTCGTCTCTTTGCCGTCCTGAGATTTGAAAGTGTCATCCACGAGTTTGATCCGTGAGTACATTTGCTTGGTCCGGTATTTTCTTTGAGAAGCATTCAGGTTCATGGGTTTCAAATTCACATTCCAGTCAGTTCTTAGTGATGGGGATGTGTTTTCTACACATTTAGGGGGGAAACTGCTCAAGTTTTCCGAAGGATATAATTGTCTTCATTTGAAACATTTCTGTTAGAATTAATCAAGTGAGTCTCTTAAAATTATAAAAAATGTAAGACATTACTGATATGCCCGCCTATCACTTTAAGGTCGGCTTCTCAGCTGGGTCAACAGTTAGGAATGTAGATTGAGGGAAAGGGGCCTGGTGTATGCTTTTAGGCTGAAAAGAAAATCACAAGCCATGAACTTGAGATCCATGACATTTTTTTTCCTGCGTTAACAGTTTATATGGTAGAAATTGGGCCTATCAGTTAAGTACTAAGACTTTGAGAAAAATTTAAATGGATTAATTTGATTAGGGATTTTGTTTTAGATAAAAAAGATACAAGTGAAATACATTTATTGAGCATTCATTTTGTTCCAAGCACTGGTTCATGGATTGTCTCTAAAACCTAACTACAGCCCTATGAGATGGAGGTAGTACTTTATCTCCTTTTCACAAATAAGACAGGAAGCTGGGAGAGAGGATTCAGGTTTACAAGTGTAATAAGTAGAAGAACCAAGCTTTGACTCTAGGTTTGTCTATCTCTAGACAGGGGGCCCTCAAACTTTTTAAACAGGGGGCCAGTTCACTGTCCCTCAGACCGTTGGAGGGCCGGACTATAGTTTTAAAAAAAAACTATGAACAAATTTCTATGCACACTGCACATATCTTATTTTGAAGTAAAAAAACAAAACGGGAACAAATACAATATTTGTATTTGCAGGTGGCCCGCGGGCCGTAGTTTGAGGACCCCGGGCTAGACACTGGAGCCATTATGTTATATTGCCTAAGGCTTAATTAAAATTTGGAGAGCTAGGATCATAGGTTCTTGAAATATTGGTATCTTAAACATAGCCTATTCAGCCTATGGAGCATTGATTCAAAATGCTCCTGCATATATTTGTAAATGTGTTGATTTGTAAATTTGCAAGCATTGAGGTGAGATGTCAGGGAAAGCAAGAATATCTGCTCTGTAGTCATAGAGCTGGAGGAGACTGTAAAGATCTTGTGATTTGACATCTCCTCTTGCAGAGCAGAAAATTGAGGCCCGGGGTGTGACACTAGTCCAGACCTATTCACACTAACTTTTACTTTTTCCGCCTCTCTCTGCCTCTCCTACTGGTAGGCAAAGGACACATTTCTGACACATGTTGACTGCCTGTTACCCTGAGCCCTTCTGTCTCTTTGACAGTTACCAAAATAACATTCATTAGCAAGAAACAGGATAGAGATTTCTGCCACTTCCGCTTTAGCTGTGAAAACTTGACTGACCAAAGAGGAAATAGGATTAGAGGGGTGAGCAGGAATGATGATTAGTCATGATTATCTTTAGTAATTAAACAATTCCATTTATTTATTTATTTATGTTTTTTGTCTTTTAAAAAATTTCTTTTTAAGTGAGAAACTTAAGAGAAGGGGTCACATAGCTTGGACCTAAAGAACTGTGTCTTTCCATGGATAACACTAAGTGTTTTATATCAAACATTTTTATGTAATTTACATTTTACACTCTTATGTAGGTGGCATTTAGAACTGTTTTAAATAACATGAGAATTAAGAAGTTTGTATTATGGAGCGGGTTAAAAAATGTTCGTTCTGTTAAACTACCATCTTTAGAGATGCCCATCACTTGAACTGATCCATGTGTCCTTGTACGTAGTATGGAAATGTTCTCTTTCATGTTCCTGTCCCTGCCAGATTTATTGGTGCCCACAGCTCAGCTGTTTTGCCTTTTGGGTGCTTGACCTCTCTGACTAGTGGCGGTGCCTCCGACAGGCCAGCCTGATGGAGGGCCCCGCTAGAGAGCGTTAGCAGCATGTTAGGCTTTAGCTGCACTTCCTTACAAGGGAAGCAGTGCTTTAATTGAGCCAAGCGTGGAACTACAAATGAGACTTACAGGAGCATAAAATGATTTTCATGCTTGGCATAATTTTTGGTAGCAAACTGACTTTTATTGGAATAATGATAAGTTTCTCAGTGGTATAACCTGAGGAGCAAAATTTACTGCAAATTGGTACAAGTATTTGAGTATGAAAAGACATGGATCCTTTTTCCCTTGCTGTAGGTACTTTAATTATCGGACTACCCGGTTCCTTGCTGAGGAGGGGTTTTATAAATTCCATAACTGGTTTGATGACCGGGCCTGGTACCCATTGGGCCGAATCATTGGTGGAACGATTTACCCAGGTAAGTGAAAGAGGATTCTTTTTAAAAAACAGAAATAAGTATTTGTATATTATGGAACAATTTATTTTATTTCTAATATCTTTATTTTATGACACCTGTAATTTCATTCTGATTGCAGATTCCTAAAAGTGGATCTTATATAGACAGGAGAACGTATATGGGAGAGTGAGCGTGGGTAGTTCTTCATAAATTCTGGACTTCTGACTGAATCCTTGAGAGAGAGATATAAGCCTATTGTAGTTGCTGTCGTTAGTATTTCTGGTGGTTTGTTAAGACCTGTGTTGTCACTTTATTGATACTTACATTTGCCCTTAAGGGCTTTATCCTAGGACTAGAGGCCCGATGCACAAAATTCATGCAAGAGGGTTGGTCCTCATGGAGGCGGCAGCCTGCCTCGGCCCTCACAGCCCCGGCTTCATCTGGAAGGTCGTTCAGCTGTCCAGTCTAATTAGCATATTATGCTTTTATTATAGAGAACTTAATGGGGTTTCTTCTTTCTGTTACAGGCTTAATGATCACCTCTGCTGCAATCTACCACGTACTCCATTTTTTCCACATCACCATCGACATTCGGAATGTCTGTGTGTTCCTGGCCCCTCTCTTCTCTTCCTTCACCACCATCGTCACGTACCACCTTACCAAAGAGCTCAAGGTGAAGGATTTGTGGTGACAGGAGGCTTGGGAATGAATGTTGTTGAACCTCTGTAGTCAATGGCAGTGGGTGGGGGACTGAACCTTAGCAGGGAGCCAGAGGCTAAAGACAGCGTTTGCTGTGCTGCATTATCGGTTCATTCCAGCTCCTCCCTAGAATATGTGATTTCTTATCATTAACAACGGTTTGTCCTTTAAAGAGAACATTTGAAGGTCAAATGTAAGTTGTTCCATAAGGAGGAAAAACATTTAAAATGTGAAATGTGAGGTGTGACGTCCTCACACTCTAAAGGAGAGGAAAAACAGCTATAGGACATCTTCTAAAGTGGTTAGTTCTTCCTGCTAAAAATGAACACTTTAGCAGTTATTTGTTGATTTTTGAAAAAGATTTAAAATTCTACAACCGCTTGGCTTGTGTGGGAGACTCCATAATACTGCCTCTCTTTCTAGGTTCCTGCATTGCTGACCCCGGCTCTTTGGAGGCCATTCTTAGTTCGTGGTTATGGTGTCGGGGAGATACTTGAGAGGCGTTAAACTAGTAGGAGGGTTTGGGAAACTTGAGTTTAGTTTGGAAGCCTTTTCATGCTTTCCTTGCTGCACTTGTTTCAAATTTGACTCTTACTAACAGACAAGTCCTTCCTCACTTTGGGTGTCAGTTACATTTTGTTGCTCCCCTCTCTCGAGCTCACAGATTGCCTGGTGATATTGCAGCTTGATTAAGCTCCTAGAATCTTTAGTTCAGATAGATTATCACCTAGCTCTGTTGGCTTTTTAGCTCAAATAATAATTGTCTTCCTTTGCTTGTACTTGCATAGCTTTTAGAGGTGTGACTGGTGTTCCTGCAGAGTCACAGATACTCTTAGGGGTAGGGATTCATAAGCCTGGGGATTCACCAGCCAAACAGCCCCCTCTGGGCCAGTGTCTGATATCTGACAGCTTACATGATTTGTCTGTCCTTACCATATGTGTTCTCAGTTTCAGACTTGGTATCATCATGGGGAGTTGGTGTGAAGTTTTAGCTGTCTTGTGCTTGAACATTTCTAGCATCACATTTACCTGCGAAAGTGCTGGACTGTTCCTGAGCTTATGCTAAACAGAATGGACTAGTGCAGTGGTCCGCAAACTGAGGCTCGAGAGCCACATGTGGCTCATTGGCCCCTTGAGTGTGGCTCTTCCTAAGCCTTAGGAGTACCCTAATTAAGTTAATAACAGTGTACCTACCTATATAGTTTAAGTTTAAAAAATGTGGCTCTCAAAAGAAATTTCAATCGTTGTACTGTTGATATTTGGCTCTGTTGACTAATGAGTTTGCCGACGACTGGACTAGTGGATCCTCTCTTTTCCTCTCTCAGAGATGTATTGGTGTTAACTTCCTGTTGCCCTTCTTTCCTCACAGGATGCGGGGGCTGGACTTCTTGCTGCTGCCATGATTGCTGTAGTTCCTGGGTATATCTCCCGATCTGTAGCTGGCTCCTATGATAATGAAGGTAAGACTGAAAATGCCGAGGAAGGTCTGTGCACTTCATTTCCCCTTGGAACTTCATGATGTGCAGTAGAACCTGGATTCATATCTATTATTTAGCAATAGCAAAAATGATATCTGGGAAAGATTAGAAACAGGCAGGAAAGGATCTCAGAAAAGTTTATATTCTCTTCCTGTCCTCTCTTGTAGAAAGGTAGCTGGCGATTTTTCTTCTGTAAGGCATTTGACTCATCTCTGGACTTATAAAAGTAGAGTCAATTTTTAGTGTTGAATGGCACACTTGTTTTAACATTATTTACTTGTTTCATTTTCCTAGATGAGTGGCATGGATGTTCTTAAAACTATAATGACTTTTACTACATATTTTCAATTCAACCTGTGTTTATTGAGTGTTATTGGGAAAGCAGTGTTAGGTATTATAAAGATAGTAATGAATAAGATTATAGAGATAGATAATGAATAAAATTGTGTTGGCCTATATTTTATGAAGGAAGGTAAATATGGACCTATAAAAATGACTAGTAACAAGCAGATAGCATTGTGTGCCAAGAGAGTAATATGAACAGAGTATTTTGGGAATGTAGTTAAAGGAGACATTAATTTAGACTTGGGAACCAGGGAAGGCTATTTGGAAGTGGTTTAGGTGAACTGGACCCTGAGGCTGGTACTTCCAACAGGCATCTTAAAGAGGGGCGGTCAGGGAAGAGGGATCTGCTGTGGTAAGATGGAAATGCAGGATGCATGGGATACATTTAGGACTAGCAGGGAATTTAGCACCTGGAAAGAATAGTAATGATAATGGCCAACACTCACTGAGTGCTTGCTGTGTGAGGTACTGTTCTAAGTGCTTAGCATGCAATTAGTAAGTTTGTCTTCACAACACTTATGAAGTAGATACCATTATGGACTGATTAGTACAAGGAAAGGCACAATAATTATGCTATAAATGGGTAGTAGATCTGAGATATGAATCGGGCAGTTTGTTCCAGAGTGGTATTCTTAAAAATTATGCGAGTATGGCCCTTTATTGACTTTTTGTTGCATTCTTTCTGCAGGAATTGCCATCTTTTGCATGCTACTCACTTACTACATGTGGATCAAAGCAGTAAAGACTGGTTCCATCTATTGGGCAGCCAAGTGTGCCCTTGCTTATTTCTACATGGTAACTTTTCACTTCTTTCTTCTAGAAGTTTCTCTATGTCCGAATACCTACTGGGATCAACAGTTATAAATTGGAAGTAGCCCTTGGGCTTTGAGACTATGGAATGGAAGCTAGAAGTCTTTACTGTCTCTTGTGTCCATACAAAGACTAACCCAAGGCAGGCATGGATGTCGATTATATAATAGCAAGATAGAGATGTTTTAATTTTTAAAGTTTTCCAGATACCGTATTTTCTTTGGGTGCATGTTGGTTGGCCAACTCTCTTTTCTGATATGTCCCCCTTAAGTTTTTTATATATCTATGTTTGTTTGATTTTACATATACTCTTAGACTTCTTCCTTTAACTGCTTCCACTTGCTCATGTTTCCCATGTATCACTGAGTTCCATGTGAACTTAAAATAGCTTGCATCTAGAGTAGCCCTGAAAGTTGGGTACCTCTTGTTTTGTGATTTTGATGTCAGGAGAGCCATAGGGAATAGGGGATTGAGTTATAGCAATGGGTGTGAATTTGATTTTCCTATTTAAAGAAATCAGTTATTTAAACTCTCTAAGCCACTTGGCATAAATAAAGTTTATTAGTTATTATAAAGATTATGTTCTTTAAAAAGGTCACAGGTAATATCCCAAGGTGTGCTGGTGGTGGGAGGAGGAGGAGTGCTCAGAGGAACGGTTCTCTTTCATCCTGTCACAGGTCTCTTCATGGGGAGGCTATGTGTTCTTGATCAACTTGATCCCTCTCCACGTGCTGGTGCTGATGCTCACGGGACGCTTCTCCCACCGGATCTATGTGGCCTACTGCACTGTCTACTGCCTGGGCACCATTCTTTCCATGCAGATCTCCTTTGTGGGTTTCCAGGTGAGCTCTAGGCTGAGTGGGATTTTTGGCTTCTACTTGTTCTAACCAGCTCCACCTAGATTGATTTATCTTGGATTTTGGTGAGGAGAGTAAGACTTCTTCACAGGTCTCACCTTGGATGCTGGTGCTAACTGAAGTAACAGAATCATTAGTCATTAAACTCTCCTTCCAGGAGTTCATTAATGTTTGCTCCATGAAGTTTGTTAATTTGGCTCAGGTTTGTAGGAAGAGGAGAAGTATTTTGGCCGAGCTGCCTTGATTTAAGTGATCAAAATGATTCCTAATCCTTTTTAATGATAATGACACCATTTAATGATAATGATCCCTAAACTTATTAAAGAGGCCTAAGCAAAAATATTTCAGGAAGCAGAGCACAAGCCTTTTAGCCACATTACCCTCCAGAGTTAATAGACAACTATTAAATCTAAACAATATGGTGTGTTTGGTTTCTCATATCAGTCTCATCAAAGTGGAATCCTTATTCAGAGGGCAGCAAATATTTCTTTACGGATCACCTATATGCAGTTTGCTAATCACTGGGAAATGTGAAAAGTAACAAATTGGTCCTGGTCTTTAAGGAAGTTACAATCTTGCTGGGGGGAAAGAAGTACATGCATCTGTCTATAGCAGTGATGGCGAACCTTTTGAGCTCGGCATGTCAGTATTTTGAAAAACCCTAACTTAACTCTGGTGCCGTGTCACATATAGAAATGTTTTGATCTTTGCAACCATAGTAAAACAAAGACTTATATTTTTGATATTTATTTTATATATTTAAATGCCATTTAACAAAGAAAAATCAACCAAAAAAATGAGTTCGCGTGTCACCTCTGACACGCGTGTCATAGGTTCGCCATCACTGGTCTACAGCCTATAGTATGTGGTTCTGGAAATGTAGTTCCGGACCAGCAGCATCAGCGGTGTCTGGGAACTTGTTAGAAATGCAAATTCTGGTGCCTCACTACAGACTGACTGCGGTTGGGCTCAGCAACCTCCCCTCCCTCCCCACCACCTCCCATGATTGTGATACCTACTAGAGTTTGAGAACAGGTGGTTTAAAGTTAAGTGATGGAAGAGATCTAAAGTTGAGGGAACGTGGAGGGGAGTGATGGATTTCAGTTTGGCAGATTAGGGGGAAATGATATTTGCATTGTGTGCCTTCAGTGATGAGAATTTCAGTGAATGCAAATTTTAGGATAATGAGAAAATTGCAATCCAGGCTAAAAGCATCGCCTGAGCAAAGGCCAGAGATGTGATAGAAAATATTGGAAAATATAGCAGGTGAATTAGACCCTCCTCTAGATTGTCCCTAGTTCCTTGGTGGCTTCAGAACTCATTTGACCCATTGAATTAGGTCAGGGTAATTCAGGTTTAGGCTGGACCCATTCTTTTTCTAACATTATTCTCATACATACGCTTTCACCAACAGCCTGTCCTCTCATCAGAGCACATGGCAGCCTTTGGGGTCTTTGGCCTCTGCCAGATCCATGCCTTTGTGGATTATCTGCGCAGCAAGTTGAACCCACAGCAATTTGAAGTTCTTTTTCGAAGTGTCATCTCCCTGGTCGGCTTTGTCCTTCTCACCGTGGGAACTCTCCTCATGCTGACAGGTAGGAAAGGTTCATGTCTTTTAGTATTAAATGTAAACTCCAAAAATATGGGTTAAGAAAGATTTCTTCTTTTTCTCCTATTTCTCTTTTCATTATAAACATATGAAGTCCTACTTCTTCAACTTTTATTTCACTTGTCAGCCTGCTGTTTGGATTCAGCATAGCAAAGTATGTCTTGTTAGAGCAGCGCTTAATCTCAGAAGAATCACACTTGATCAAAGGACCGTATCTTACCTTGCTAATTATTCTCTCTCTTTTTTTTTCTTTTCCCTTTTTTGGTTCCTGTTGGTAGGATGGGAGAAGTCCTAACATTGCTTGCCAAACCCTACAGCACGGGCTCATCTGATCCTGTATGCATGCCACCACAGTTTAGTTACACATTTTCCTCACTTCCACTTCTCAGAGGCTGATTTTATTTGCCAAGTTTCTGTGAATTGTCTAATTCAGAGCAGCACTAGAGGACGTAGTTGACTTATAGAGTTGGCCTTGGTTTGACCAGATTTGGCCTAAGCCCTTCTGGGATGCATTTCTGCCTCCCTTCTGAGTTTATGCACAGCCTGACTTTATTTTGCTTGCTTTACTGACGAAAGTACTCTCCAGTTTGAAAAAAGGGAAGGAGTGAAATTCTCCAAGTATTGATGGCATTTAAACAAAAACGTCCTTCTGTCTCAGAGAATCTTATTGAATGAGAAGTTGTGATTAGTAAGGATTAGATGTTACTTTGTTTCAGGAGTGATTGTGAAATATTTGTTCTCTTTGCTGCCAGGAAAAATATCTCCCTGGACGGGGCGTTTCTACTCACTGCTGGATCCTTCTTACGCGAAGAACAACATCCCCATCATTGCTTCTGTGTCTGAGCATCAGCCTACGACCTGGTCTTCATACTATTTTGACCTGCAGCTTCTTGTCTTCATGTTTCCAGGTCTGTCTGCCTTGTGTTCTAAAGCGCCCTTCTTTGTAAGAGTCACCATTTGTTTCAAAATAAGTAAAATACCCTCATCCTTGTGTTTGTTCTTTGCCTACTTACCCTGTGCAGGACAGAGGATGATGGCTAAGCATTTTTTTCTGAAGCAGAGTAGATGTTAGAATTGAATAGTTGCAGACCTTGGAAAGTTCAGAACCTCAGTTTTCTGCTCATTTATGTGTGAAAATTTGTATTCAGGGTGTATGTGTGTGTGTGAATAATTCTAGTGTACCTCTCTCCCAATGCCCATCCCTGGGTCCTCCCCATTAATCAGCAATATTGAAATCCAGAATGGGCCTGGCTGATTGTAGAGCCTCTTCATCTAATGCAGTGGTTCTTAACCTGTGGGTCGCGACCCCTTTGGGGGATCGAACGGCCCTTTCATAGGGGTCGCCTAAGACCATCGGAAAACACACATATATAATTGCATATTGTTTTTGTGATTAATCACTGTGCTTTAATTATGTTCAATTTGTAACAATGAAATTGGGGGTCACTACAACATGAAGAACTGTATTAAAGGGTCGCGGCATTAGGAAGGTTGAGAACCACTGATCTAATGTATCTTCCGGCCAAGCCAGATATGTTTTTAGAATTTACCCGTTGTACTGGGCTTCCTTTTAAAAAAATTTTTTTATTTTGTAAAATAACTTTTACATTTTTTTCTTACTATGAAACTAAGTTATCTATTGTAAAAAATATATGTGAAAAAAGTTAAAAATTTCAGTTCTCACCACATATCTGTTGCTACTATTAACATTTTGATGTATATTTGTCCAATTATTTATTGAATAAAAATTAAATGCTAGTTTTCCTTGAGTATTTTAATTTCATAAGGAATCATAATTTCTGTTTAGTATTGTTTTAGAGAAATAATATTTAAGATATATCATTTGTTAACTTTTTTAAAACTACAGAGATGTGTAATGGAGAAGGCAAATGGTCCATAATCTCTGTAGCAGTATTTTAATTGTAGCATATTAATTTTATAAATAAAATATGCTATAATTTTCATTCTTAATGTTGGACATTTATGTGGTTTCTGATTCTTTGCTATTTTAAAGAGTGCTGTAGTGAACATCTTTCCATGTATGTATGATTGTTTTTTTAGCTGCTTACTTTTTACTTTTACTCTTGTAGTTGGTCTCTATTACTGCTTTAGCAACCTGTCCGATGCCCGGATTTTCATCATCATGTATGGTGTGACCAGCATGTACTTTTCAGCTGTCATGGTGAGGAACTCCCTATCCTAGCACACCTTATATTCCTAACTCTGGGTGCTTTTTTGTTTCCTGCATAGCAGGATTCAGAAAGTTCTGATGATTGTGCACATGCTTCCCTCTGAGCATTCGAGGGCTGCCTTGTAAAGCTGCTCACTGGTTGATCCTTCACTGGAAGGTGTGAGCACTCATGCATTCTGATTGGGGGCCCAGCTTTCTTGTATTCATGACCTTGTGTTAGGGACAGGCACTTCTGCTCTTGTTGGAGAAAGTGACCCTGGGCAGGTTCCTTCCCTTCTCTTTCTGGATGTCTTAAAAAGGGAGATGATGGAGGCTTTTTGAGTTGTTAAAACAGGAGAGATTTCATATATTGTAGCAATACTGTTTCTCACACGTTTTTGATCCCAAACCATAGTTAAGAAATATAGTTAATATTACTCAGGACTCTCATACATATATACATATATGTATAACTGAAAAACGAAGGTTTAGAAATATATACTTATACTACTGTAGACTTATCAATTATTTTTTCTTCTATTTTGTTCTATTTCATTGAAAAGTTATATTTGTTAAAAACCCCTAAATTAATGTCATCATGTACACATAGGTTGAAAACTATAATTCGTAAAACACAGATTAGACTGTAATCTTGCTTCCTGCCTCTTAGGTGCGTCTGATGCTGGTGCTGGCACCTGTTATGTGCATTCTTTCTGGCATTGGAGTCTCCCAGGTACTGTCCACCTATATGAAGAATCTGGACATCAGTCGTCCAGACAAGAAGAGCAAGAAGCAACAGGATTCTACCTACCCTATTAAGAATGAAGTGAGTATAAAGCAACACTAAGAACAGGCTTGGGAAACTGTGTGTGTGTGTGTCTATGTATGTTTGTTTGTGTACGTTTTTGTTTTTGAGTAAGGGAGTGAGAGGACTGTCATAAGTGGTCAGAATTAACTTATACAGCCCCTGACTTACTTTGATTCATTTTATTATTGACTGTGTGTAAGAAGCTGTTCTGTGTTGTGTAAATTTAATTTGGTTTTATAACACATTTTTTCCATGTTTAGGTGGCAAGTGGGATGATATTGGTCATGGCTTTCTTTCTCATTACCTACACCTTTCATTCAACCTGGGTGACCAGTGAGGCCTACTCTTCTCCCTCCATTGTGCTGTCTGCTCGTGGTGGGGATGGCAGTAGAATCATTTTTGATGATTTTCGAGAAGCGTACTATTGGCTTCGTCACAATACTCCAGAGGTAAAGATTTGGGAAAAGTGGGGCTGTGGGTAGGGTAAAGGGGGAGACATTTGATGTTATGGTGAATCAAAGCTTTTAGATGGGTGGAAAACTTGGAGAAATTGTAACTATAGGACTCTAGTGTTGAATGAGCTTTAAAGGTCACCTCCATTCAATTCAGGATTTCTGTCCTTACTGGTATTGATGGTGATTTTATCATTAGGTGGACTATCACAATTATATAAGAAGAAAAAAGTTACAGATAAATAATACATGTTCATTGTAAAAAAATCAGCAAATAGAAGAAAAAAAACAAATTTTCCATAATGTGATCACTTAATGATAACCACTTTTAACATTTTGGTTTATACCTCTGAGAATCTGAAGTGATTTCCTTTGCAGTAGCTATTAGAAATAGCACTTCTGAGTTAGATTCGTGAAGAGTCAAAACTTTAAGAATTTTGTAATCCTTTCCCATTATATCCTGTGATTTGTATTTCCCCCATTATTATAACATTTTTAAAATATTATTAAAGACCATTTATTTAATACAATTATCTGGTGAGGCCAATCTATTTGGAAATATTGATCAGTCCTCTATACCTCCTACTCCATTATACTTGTTTGTAAAAAAGTGATCTACAATGAAAGTATTAGGAATGTTGGATTATATAATTTGCACTGAGATTTCATGATTGTATATAAATGTAGGACCAGATGCAAAGATTTATTTTCTGTTGCATGCATTATTGTGTGAAGAAATTGATTAATTAGTCATGCCTGATTTCCTATCAGATGCCCTTCCACTCCATCTCTTGTATGTGATTTTTGGAGGCATTGAGAAGCTTGTTATTTTCATTTCCCCTTCTTTCAGGATGCTAAGGTCATGTCATGGTGGGATTATGGCTACCAGATTACAGCTATGGCGAATCGGACGATTTTAGTGGACAATAACACGTGGAATAATACCCATATTTCTCGAGTAGGGCAGGTAAGGTAAAGGGATCATTTGAGTGTTTGGCCCACAGGGTCTAGTGGGAAGTATTTCTCCTTGAGGGATCAAATGACCTGGAATTTTGTTCTGAGAAATGTGCATGTCTTTTTCTAGGCAATGGCATCCACAGAAGAAAAAGCCTATGAGATCATGAGGGAGCTTGATGTTAGCTACGTGTTGGTCATATTTGGAGGTCTTACTGGGTATTCCTCTGATGGTAATGTACTAGATTCTACTTCTGGCTGTAGGGCCTAGATTCTAAGAAAACTAGATGGCGCTCCTATTTTTCTGTCCTTCTGTTGTCTTAACATATTTTCTTAGTTGGGGAAGTTCCTAAGTATTTGCAGCTTGAGTTGTTTTGGTTTTTTTTTTTTTGGTAACAAGTAGAAAGTAAATGTAAATATTTCTCATGTAGGTACAGCATGCTATACTTGTTTAAGGTCTAGGAGCAGTTCCACAACCACAACATAAAGCTTCTGAAATGAACTTAAGATTTAATGTTTTTAGTAGGTTTAAGCCATAGAATAATCTCCCAGCTTAAAATGTTTTATATATATTGTGCCTCACGCAGCCTGGGCATGTGCCCTGATGGGGAATGAAACTAGCAACCTCTTGGTGCATGGGGTTAATGCTCAACCACTGAGCCACACCAGCTGGGGCCACATAAGTCATTTTAAAATGTCTGTTAGCCAGATCAAAATAAGTAAAAAGAAATAGGGAAAATGAATTTTATTTATTTATTTTTACTTAACTTTTTAATTGAATTTATTGGGGTGACATTATTCCCCCCATTGTTACAACTGCTTTTTTTTGATATTGTTATAGTCCATTTGTTCAATACAATTATCTGATAAGGCCAGTCTATTTATTTGGAAATATTGGTTAATAAAATTATATAGGTGTCAGATGTACAATTCTATAATACACCATCTGTATACTGCATTGTGAGTTTACCACCCCAAGTCAAGTCTCCTTCCATCACCATTTATCCCCCCTTATACCTTCTTCTACCTCCCCCACACACCCTGGAAATGAACTTTAATAATTTTATTTAACTGAATATTATTACTTAATATGTAATCAAAATGTGTTACACACTTGGTTTTGTTTTTGGACTATTTCATACTTAACAGCACATCTTAATTTGGACTAGCTTCATTTTAAGTGTCAGCTACATGTGGCTAGTAGCTACTGTATTGGACAGCTCAGCCCCAGCTAATACCTGGACCTAATTTCAGTTGTGACTTAAGCCTGGACCAATTGTATAGGATTTTAGCAGTCTAGTAATCTATAGGACAAGCTGTATATTTTGAGGAAAAATGTTTTATCTACAAATTGTCTTTCCAGTTTTTATAAATGAATTAAATGATGCCATTTCCTATTAGAAAAATATTGGGGAATTTCCTTAGAAATAGTGAGCTTTTCATTAGATGGTTTAGCTCCAGCAACCTTTGTAATGCAGCATTTCTTTCTTTTTCTTTTTTTCCCTAGATATCAACAAGTTTCTGTGGATGGTCCGGATTGGAGGGAGCACAGACACAGGCAGACATATCAAGGAGCATGATTATTATACTCCAACAGGGGAATTCCGTGTGGACCGGGAGGGTTCTCCAGTGCTGCTCAACTGCCTTATGTACAAGATGTGTTACTACCGCTTTGGACAGGTGTACACAGAAGCCAGTGAGTGATTCTTAGCAACATTAATAGCAATAATAACATTAATAGCTAACACAGGGTGCTTTTCATGTGCGAGGCTCTAAGTGCCTTACATCTATTGACTCACTTAATCCCCTCAATAGTCCAAAAAGTAAATATTAATATTATTCCCATTTTATATATGAGGAAATTAAGGTACAAATAGGATACTTAACTGCCCAAAGTCACATAGTAAGTGGCAGAGTCAGGTGAAACTCAGGTGATCTGGCTGTAGATTCTATGCTTTTACCCATTACTTTTTATTGTCTCTCAGTAAAAGGAATTGCAATGGGGAAAGGAATGAAGAGGGATAGATTAAAGGACTTTTTGTTTCTTTAGATAAATACATCGAGAGTAATTAAGGTTAAGTCTTTCCTTCTAACTTCAACTTCTTAGTTCTGCACTAGGGACAATTTCTGAACCAGATACAGGCCTTTGACTTCTGATAGGTTTTTCTCTGATCCATGGAAGGGTTATTAGTGTATCACAGAGGCCTCTGTGTAGCACTCCTCAGGAACAGGGGGGCTTGGAAGTCAGCCTCCTCCCTCTTAGAAGACACAAGCATCATCATCATCTTGGAGAGGACTTGAGTTAGGGTAACACTGGATTTGCCCTTACTATTGACATCCTTTCTGCAGGTCCTACTTTCTAAACAAACTACAGGCTGAGGAATAACATTCCAGTTAGTAGATGACTCACCAAATTGATTTACTATTTCCTTAGGAAATCTGCACTGTAGAAAGAAGTGTATCCCATTTTTTGTCCCTTTCTAGAGCGTCCACCAGGTTTTGACCGTGTGCGGAATGCTGAGATTGGGAATAAAGACTTTGAGCTTGATGTCCTGGAGGAAGCTTATACCACAGAGCATTGGCTAGTAAGGATATACAAGGTGAGCAGATGTTATACTGTCATCTTTGCACATTGGTTCTAGTGCTAAAAGTGGACTACGTATTTCTAAAGTAGGGACATTTCTAATGTCTGAAAAGTAGCTTGCAATTCCGAATTTTACTGTTTTTATTTAGATTGTTCTTAGAAAACACCCTGGTCTGCTGTCATTGTGGCAATGTTGTCAGTGATATATTTCCATTTGGGGCTGGCCTTGATCTTTTAATGATTATCAGGCTTTAGTGGGGTAGGGGGTGGGGTGGAGAAAGTGTGCTTTCAAGCTACTGAAGAATTTATGGAATAGAGTCACATAAGTGTGTTATATCTCTAACATAAGATTGAGAACCCATGATGTGTTGGAAGGTAGATCATTTATACTGCTCCTCACAGAGGTATTTCAAAGGCTAAGCAGAGGTAACTAGTCTCAAACTAGTGCTCATTTAGTCACAAAGCCAAACTGGGCAGGAGAATCCAACATAGTCCCTCCCCGTCTGGGTGACCCAACTCAGTAGAGCAGCTGTCCTAAATTGACTTGATTGTAATGTTAAACTGACATCTTTATGTTGTAGGTAAAGGACCTGGATAATCGAGGCTTGTCAAGGACATAAACATTACGTCCAGCTCTGATATGCTTCGCACTGAGCGCGTCACATTTAGGACGCTGAAGATGTTTTTAAAATATGCAGTTTATAAGAACGGAGCACGATGGGATTAGAATTGTCTGGAAGTTTTGCCCTGGGTAATATGGGCTGGGCCAAATGCAATGATTTTTTTTTTTATAATTCTGAGAGGTTACCAAATGAAATGTCATGGCTTTACTTTGGTCAATTAAAGGGAGGGAATTTTTTTTTTTAATGTGCCTTATTTGTTTTTATTTTTGACTGATTTGAGGAAGGCAGAAGTTTATGCTGGGCTGATAAAAGGACAGAAAGCAGGCCTCATCCCTGTTTTTAGCTTCCTAAATCAGCTATGTAGGGGCATACTGTCTTTATCAAGTCAGGAAAACTTCAAGGGCTGGGTCCGATCCTACATATACAAACAATTTTGTCATTTCAAAAATTACAGCACTGAGCACAATGCCGTGCACATAGTAGGTGCTCAATAAACTTCTATTGAATGAATAATGTGGGACTAGAGGAGTGCCATTTCTGGGTAGGAAAGGCAGCGGTGTTGCCATCACGTCTCTGTTCTCAACATATCTCATCCTTGGGAGCTCCAACTTTATGAGGGAGAGAAGGTGGCTAGCCAGACCTGATCTCTATTCTTTGGGACTAGCTAGGTGGTTTTTTTCTTATTTTTTTTTTTCATTCTTTTTTTAGCAGGAATAAATCAAGTGAGAATAAATCAGCAGTTTTGAAGATTCAAGGCAGAGAGTTTATTATTATTCTGATTCTCAGTGGAGGAAGAAACTCCTCCAACATTATATATACAACTTGATGTTTAATAGGTATTTTTGAATCAGCTGAAATATAATCATGCATATCTGTTTGAAATCCAGCTCTTTAGTACTCTCACTTATCCATGATATAGTAAATGTGTCTTTGCTCATTTCCTTTAGTTTAGGCACTAAAACTCTAGTGGTTATTTAAGGCGAGCTATTTTATCCCTTAGTCTCTGTCTATTTGTTGTTATTATGTACCATACCACTAACAATCTCAACAATCTGGTTTTGAAGTCCTTGCCAAATAAGCTATACTAGTAAGTTAGAAGGAGGAATTGCTATCAGTAGTACCTAGAGAGCAGGCCTAGCCTGACTACAATAAAGGGGAAGAGAAAAATTTTAACTCAAAGCACAGTAATCCTATGGATACTATTTAATGTCGGGATAAATATTAAATGTTCAATACAGTAGGACACTATGTATCTTATAACACAGGACATATACAGTGAAGTATATAAACCATAAGTCATTAAAAAAATACACAAGGTAACTGTTTAGTGTTACCTGTTGAAGAAACAGGAGCAAGTACATGGCTTTTAGATAAGTCCAAATGGTGCTCCTGGAGGGTATGCTCAGGTATACTTACGTACCCAGGAAACTTAACCTTCCAAACCAGTTTATATACCAAGTGCTTTAACTGTGAGATTTAGTTTTGATGCAATATATGAGTTACTGTACGTAAATACATTACTTGATTTATATACAGAATTCCTCCCTACTGAAAGAGGTTATTCTGAGGCTTGTTTTATTTTTTAAAATTTCTTTTTACCAATATGAATAATACCATTTAGGGATCATTAATGGTCTTTCTCTATAGTAATATGGGATAACCCTTTAACTTATCACTGTAGTTGTTGCTTTGGTGATTCTAATGTTGTTACTTCCTAGGCTGCATGAAGCTGTCTTTTTGAAAAATTAACTTTTTCACTGTTACACTTTTTTACACTTAGTGTAAAAAAAACTCAATTCTAAAAAGCAACAACAGTTTTCCACTCCCTGGGGGCAACCACTTTGAACTCTGCTGATTCTCACATTACTTAACCTCCATCTCATTAAATAACTTGCCTTATTTTGCCATGTGTTGGTTTTTCTATCTTAGGAGTATCATCTGTTGACTTTCTGGTGTGGAAATTGAAGATTTAGCTCTTTTTCACCATCCTGCTATTCCCATGGACCACTTTAAGGTTCTAAAATATCGGTTAGCTCCGTAGTTTTTACCTTATGGCTTTTTATAACTAGGCCATGGGGTATACTGTTGCTACTTTGTTTTATCCCTGCATAACTTTTTTGGAGGGAGTTTTTTCATTGTTTTTTTTTTTTGTATTTGTCACTAATTTCTCCCCAAGCTCTCATTCACTTGTTTCAAGTTTCTTTTAATATGCTCAGACTCATTGGGTATGTCTTAGAGATGTCTTGTTTTGGTATGTACAAGTTTGATTTATTCTTTACGTTTGTTACACATCTCTTTAGTTGGTATATCCTTTCACTGTCATGTTATGTATGGTAATCTGATTTCTTTCTTTTTTTGTCACCTCTAACTGCCTCCCTGAGAAAGTGTGTGGGAGATAAATTTCTTGAGATCTTGCATGTCTCACATCACAGTTAACAGGTTGGCTAGGTATAGAGTTCCAGGATGTGAAAACTTTTCCTTAGAATTATTTTGAAGTCATTGGCCCATTGTGTTTTCTCTTCTAAATGCTGAGAAATGCAATGCTGTTCTAACTTTTTTGCATGAGTCCATTCCCTCTCACTTCCACCCCCAGACCTCTTAGGGTCTTCTCTGCATGTAATGTTTCGAATTTTCCCGATGATGTGTCTTAAAGTGGTTCATCCATTGTGCTGGGTACTTTAAACTTTTAAGTCTGGAAAGTCAAGTTCTTTAGTTCTGAGAAATATCCTTATTTGTGGATTTCCCCTAATTCTCTTTCTCTTTCTGAAAAATAAGCTATTTGGATGCTGGACTTCCTGGACTAATCACCCAATATTCTTATTCTGTTTTCCATCTATATGCTCTGTTCTGGAAGATTCCTTGAAAAATATTTTTTGCAATCTGTGTAGTTTCCCTATTTTCTGCTATCACATTTTTTAATGTCCAAGAAGTGTTTTTCTGTTTTGTTGAATTTTCCTTTGTTTTGACATCTTTCATATTAAAGGCCTTTACAAATTCTTAGTTGTCTGCTCTTTTTAAGAGTGGGACCCTAGCCCAGTGGTGTGGCTCAGTGGTTGAACATGAACCTAGGAACCAGGAGGTCATGGTTTGATTCCCAGTCAGGGCAAATGCCTGGGTTGTGGGCTCAAGTCCCCGTTTGGGGTGTGCGGAGGCAGCCAGTCAGTGATTCTCTCATCATAGATGTTTCTCTCCCTTCCTCTATGAAATCAATAAAAACATTTTTAAAAGAAAAAAAAAAAGAGTGGGACCCTAAAGCAGATTGGAAGGTCTGTTTGGGGAAGGGAGTCCAGCTTATTGAATGTGGGCCTCACTCCTGTGATCTGGCTGGAAATCCCTGATATTGGCATCTTTAGATCTTTTTATATAGGTAACCTTCCCTTGAGAAGGCTTGTAAATCCTCTAAGGATACAAGGCAGGCTGCCATATTTCTAAGTGGGGAAAGAAGGCTTTTGAGCAAGCATGTCAGACGTGCAGCCAGTAAACTTCTTTGCATAAACTGACACTTAATCCCTTTGTTTTCAATAAGATACCCAAGCCTTTAACTGCCTGATGCTCTCCAGCTCAGATACCATGTAGTTACCCTCTCAAGCCCTGTACCAGCTTTGGGACAATGAGAGGATCCAAGGGTCTATTGCTTCTTACCTCGTCTTTCAACCTACCCTCTATAGCCCCACCTTCACCTACACTTCAGTTACCTGGTGTCACTAACTCAACTTGAGCCTTTTGGAAGTTCTGTGATGTAAATCAAGTTGCTTTTCTGCTTTCCCATTGTTGGCTCTAGGATTCATCTTTGTTTTATCTAAAGACTTTTCCACCTGCCAAAATCTTGTATCTCATACTCTTTTCTTGTGCCTTTTAAAGATTTACTATTTTAGTTAGGTTTCAGAAGGCAACAGAGGCTATTGTGTGCAGTCATTCTCCCAGGGGGCTGTCTTTAACTGTATTCTACCTCAAACGGGGGTGCCCCCCCCCCTTTTTTAGGCTAATTCCATACACACACACACACTCAGACACTGAGCAGGTCCTCCTCTTCCTTTCTCCATAGTCTGTCCTGCAGCACACAGTGCACAAATTAGAGAAAATGTGGTAAAAGATGTGGAAGCTTTATTACAGGAAGCCTAACCCGTGAAGTCATGGTTAAAAACGTCTCAAACAGGCATTTTGAAACGCTCTGGTATTGTTTTAAAGCAGATGTGTGCGTTTTTAAACGTGAAATTTATTGGCCCGACTGGTGTGGCTCCGTGGCTGAGGGTCGACCGATGCACCGGGAGGTCCGCCAGTTCGAGGCCCAGTCAGGAGGGCATACGCCAGGGAGCTGGCTGGGTCCCCTGGCCCCGGCAGGGAGTGTGCAGGAGGCCGCTGACCCATGTTTCTCGTGGATGTTTCTCTCTCTCTCTCAAATCGATAAGAACCTATTTTTTAAAATATTAAAATACGGGTTTAAAAATGTATTGGGGTGACATTGGTTAACTGCACTTTTGTGTAACATTTTATACTTATTTTACTCCATTACCAGTAACACAATCGAGCTACGATCAATGTAGGTGGCCGATTTAAGAACTGGAGAATTTAATGGAGATGACACTGCCTGTGCCTCGAGTTCCCGGTCACGTATTGCCAAGGGGGAGTGTTCCGTGTTATTTTATCCTAAACCAGGCGCACTTCCCCAGAATTTACTTCCCTCCTTAAACGGGTTACTTACAATGTGCTTTGTGCAATGAGGCAGAACGGCGTGTCTGCGCCACCTACCTGCCTGCGCCTCCCACGCTCCCAAGAAGGCGGGTGGGGCTAAGCGACACGGAGGCTCTTCCTGCAAACGGCGGGGCCCAGCTGCTGCAGGTGCTGCCGAGGAGCCCATTCAGGCCGCACGGGGCACAGGGTCATCCTCTCCCTCCGACGGCAGGTCTCGTCCGAGGCCTCCTCTGCCAGGGACCGAGGGGCCAGGCTCTGAGGCCCCCGCCGCCGCCTTCGTCCTTCCCAGCCCCGTTCTCGGGGGTCTGCGCCTCACTTCAGTGACCGGACCGGACAGGTCGCCGGGCAGATACTCGGAGGCGCAGAGCCGGCGTCGTGGCGCCCACGGGTGGAACCCCAGCCTCGCGCACGTCCGTCTCCCGGGTCTCGGCGCCGCCAGCACCTCCCGACTCACAATAGCCCGGGCGCAGCTGGCACCTGTGGGGCTGCCGCGCCGGCCTCCCGGAGCCGCCCAGCCGCCAAACTTCGCGAACCGGAAAGCGCGCCTCCGTGCTTTACGGCAAGGGCGCGCGCGTTTGCGACAGTGTGACGCGCTCCAGTTTTGGCGGGAAAAGCGCTGCATTTGGATTCCTGCGGTGGCGGGCAGAGGACGGCCTGGTGAGAAGGGCGGCGGGTAGGGTAGGCAGGGAGTCTGCAGAGGGGTTTCGGGGTCCGCATGAGCTAGGAGAGCACGGCGAGGGGTTCGGAGAGACTCCCGCGGAGAGGCGCCCCAAAGGGCGGAGGAGGGTGGCACGGGGCGCTGGAGGCAGAGGGGCTGCAGAGACCTCCCCGCTGCTAGTCTGCGTGCCTCCCGGCCCTGCCTTCCGCCCCTCGGGGCAGTTTGGCCCCGCCCCGGGCTCCACCCGGCCCCGGGGGACCCTGTGGGGTGGGGAGGAGGGGCCGCGGTGATCGTGATTATCTTTCCCCCTCCCCTGACCCCTCTTGCCCCTTCTCTACACCCACCGCGAGGCGTTGTCCCCCGACTCCATCCCAACTGCTACAGTTCCTCCGCGGACGAGGGGCCGACCCTGCGCATTCGCTGGGCGTGGGGATGGGGATTTACAGGATCGGACGCCAGCATTTGGGAGACTGGCCTGTGGTTTAGACGGGGGTAGGATCTGGGTGATGGGGTGTCAGGGGAAAGAAGAGCTGTTATTTATATGGAGGACTCCTGGCCGACGCGGAGCTCAGCGACCTCATCCCCCTCTTTTCTGGGTCCCGCCCCTTGCAGCCGCGGTGCGCAGCGGAGCCATGGCCGTGCCCTTCGTGGAAGACTGGGACCTGGTGCAGACCCTGGGGGAAGGTGCCTACGGAGAGTGAGTCCGCGTCCTCGCCCCCTGCTTTCCCGCTTGCTTTGCCCCCCTCTGTCTGGTTTGAGCCCCTGGGCGTCGTTTTGGAGTTATTTTAACACAGCGGGGCCTTAGGAAACGGACCTCTGCCTGTGAAATCCAAGACTTCTGGGGAACGGAAGTTGTGCGATCTTTTGTAAGCACTTTGTTTACTTTGACATTGACTTTGTCCAGCGCCGAGGCCCGTTTCTCCTGCCTCCGCTTCCTTCTTGAGCTTTAGGCATCGTGTTTTCAATGAACAAATGAACGGACTCTGGAGCCAGGCCGCCTGGTGTCAGATCATCAGCCTGTCACATACCGATCATTGTTTTGTTCTTAGGCGAGCTGCTGCTTCTTAAGCCTCATCGCAGCGTCTGTACATGTTGGTGTTAGAGGAGGAGGAAGGGAGTGAGAGAGAGGAAGAGAGATCCATGTGAGAGGGAAACCTCTGTGCCCTGACCAGGGGCTGACCCTGCACCCTTTTGGTGTAGGGAGCGATGCTCCCGCCAACTGAGCCACCCGGCCGGGGCCGCGAGCTTCTTGATACTGTTGTTGCCTCTGTTTCCTTAGCTGTAAGATGGCAATCATGGTACTGACCCCATCGGTGCTGAGAACAGTTACCGCGGGATTGGTAAATGTTAGGTGATGTTATTACAATTAAATGAATAGAGCATGTGTATATGGAATGTGGCCTAGAATGGTTATCCCAGTTTAGTTCATTTTCTCAAGCATTTATTGAATGACTTTTGGTTCAATAGCATAATGACTTCTTTGGTGCATTGTCTGTTGTACCTCATATTTCAGAAAGGAGGAGTATCTTTTGAGAACATGGCAGAAACCATCCCCATGGTTTCTCCTTGGTGGATACATTTATAAAAGTGCAATAATTCTGGATGGGTCGTGTTTAATCTTTTTTGAAGTTTTAAAATAAATAGAATTCAGGCACCTGGAATGTTACAATCTTTCTTTTTTAGGGTTCAGCTTGCTGTGAATAGAAGAACTGAAGAAGCAGTTGCAGTGAAGATAGTAGACATGAAGCGTGCCATAGACTGTCCAGACAATATTAAGAAAGAGATCTGTATCAATAAAATGTTAAATCATGAGAATGTAGTGAAATTCTATGGTCACAGGAGAGAAGGCAATATCCAATATCTATTTCTGGAGTATTGCAGTGGAGGAGAACTTTTTGATCGAATCGGTATGGAAAGGATTTAAGATAATTATTCTCCTAAATAAGTTTCTAAATTTCTTTCTTGAACTTGGGTCTGCTATGTGATCATTGTCCATTAGGAATTGCTTATGCAGCAGAGAAATTGGAATAAGTTGTTTTGTTTTTGCAACTTATATTAACACATGAAAGCATAAAAGCCATCAAAACTTTTTTCCCAAGTTGTATAAGTGATTTGGTTGGTATTGTTGTTTCGTAAGTTTTAAGAATGATAAAGTGTAGTCTCATTGTATATATTTAGAAATCCAGAATGATAGCATGTTACTATGTTTCTCCTTTTTTAAAAAAATATGTTTTATTGATTTTTTTACAGAGAGGAAGGGAGAGGGATAGAGAGTTAGAAACATTGATGAGAGAGAAACATCAATCAGCTGCCTCCTGCACACCCCCCACTAGGGTTGTGCCCGCAACCAAGGCACATGCTCTTGACCGGAATCGAACCTGGGACCCTTGAGTCCACAGGTTGACGCTCTATCTACTGAGCCAAACCAGTTAGGGCAGTATGTTTCTTCTTTATGTGTTCAAGTGAAATAATGTAGAATTTTCTAGGATTGCTTTTATAGAACACTGAGAAGTACATAAAATATATTCTGTGGTTCTAAGTTTATTATTTAAAGCTATGGTATTAACAGTTAAAATTGATTATTAGAATCACAAGTATTTATCTTAGGAGAGAGTTGAGTGTAAAAGAAATCATGAGTTAATAAGGGAGATCAAGATATAAAGAAGACGACTGACAATAGAATACATCTTAAAACTGTTCCTAAAGAAACATCACAGGCATTCATGACTTTGTTCTGTGAGAGGTTATCTGAAGTTTAAATCTGTTGTTAAATATTTAGTGAAATTAGCTTAGTTTTGCCCAAGCCTCCACTTTGGCAATTACACTTGAGGAGTGGAAAAATCTTGGCATGACATTTTGATGAAATTAGGGGAGAATTTGAAAGACCAAATAAATAGTGGTTAATATAAGATAAGCGGGGACTTTCAAGGTTGTTATTATATGTGTTAGTGGACTCCAGAGTCTTTTTGATTGTTAGCATGGGATTCTGTTTGCTAAAGTACAATCACAAATGTTTTACCTTAGAATTAAGAGGTTATGTGGTTGATTCCTGATTACATTTACCTCGTAAACTAACTTTCATCATGAATTCTTATAGAGCCAGACATAGGCATGCCTGAACAAGATGCTCAGAGGTTCTTCCATCAACTCATGGCAGGGGTGGTAGGTACAGTTGACTCTGACTTTACTTAAAATTAGAGTGAGTGAAGTAAGTTACTGAACTCTAATATTCTTCCCTCTGCTTTCTTAGACTTATCTGCATGATATTGGAATAACTCACAGGGATATTAAGCCAGAAAATCTCCTATTGGATGAAAGGGGTAAGTTTAGCATTTTGTGATTGCTACCTAAATTATTTTAATACCAGCCATACAAGGCTCTTTGAGGGCTTTTGCATTATTGAAATTTCAGGGAATAACAAAACAAAATCCAAGGATATACAGAGGTCATCCATTAGTATTTTCAGTGATTACTACTTAAAAATAACTTGGGACTCAATGTCATTGGTTTATTAAGATTGTCATATATAGATATTAACAGGTAATTATACACTAGCTACCTTCCAACTCAAATACAGGTAAACATCATCAATGGATTACATGCTATATTGTAGATGTAATTGATTTTTAAATAATTATTCCCCTATTTTGGGACAGTTGTTTTTGTAGCTTTTAAAACAAATAAAACAGTGATGACTGTTCTATAAATTTGTGCACAAACCCAATATAAAAATTGGGTCGTATAATGAATATTTTTTTATGACACTTGCCTTTTTTTTTTTTTTTTTTACTTATACCCAATTCTGTGTCAGTACATATAGCTATATCTTTATTTAAAAACAATTACTTATATAGTTTTGTTGTGTACGTGTATTATAAGATTTAGTCATTTCTTTATTGATGGACATTTAAGTTATTTACAAATAAAATGAATATCCTTAAGTTTGTGTGTTTGAGGGAGTATTTCTGTGGATATAGTCCTAGAAATAGACATTACTAGTTCAAAGAGTGTGTGAATATTTCAGATTTTAACATCTTTTGCCAGATTGTCCTCTAAAGGTTGAAAATAGGTAATCTTCCCTAATTCCTAAGACTAGATTTGATTCCTTTGCTATAGGATTTTGTAATGTCCTATATTTTCATAACCTGCAGTTTATATGTGTGGAAGATGGGAAGTTAGAGTAGAAATTTGCTTTTCTGGTTTGTTTTTTTTAGAGTTCCTCCCCCTTTTCTAAACGTAGCCACTTTGACAAGTAGTTCTGGTGGTTTGTGGATCTTTAGTTTTGGTGTGTCTTTACAGGGAAATTTTCTACCAGCCAACAGGCTTTGCCTGCTGCTGGGAAAGTTGTACCTAATACATTATTGATGTCTCCTCCTGCCTGCTGCACAACCCAATAAAGGGCCAGGCTCTGCTTTAAGCCTAAGTCTCCAATATCCTTTCCAGAAGGGCAGGCCCTTCTGACTTCAGTATCTTTCTTTAACCTGTTTGTGCATCGATATTTCTCTTTTTTTAAAAAATATATTTCTCTTGAATGAGCAGAAGCGATGAGTTCTTTCACTGATTTTTGCTGGATGATGATGTCTTTTATTTTTCTTTTTAAAAATTTCTTTGTTGCCTCGTTTTAAGGCAGAGAAGTTCTATAAACCTTGGGTGACACCAGTGATTTTCCAATAAAGCTTTATTTCAGTATATCTACTTACAAAACATTTTTATCCAGTGCCATCTCTTTTTCCTTTGGTTTAGATAACCTCAAAATCTCTGACTTCGGGCTGGCTACAGTGTTTCGGCATAATAACCGTGAGCGTTTATTGAACAAGATGTGTGGTACTTTACCTTATGTTGCTCCAGAACTTCTAAAGAGAAAAGAATTTCATGCAGAACCAGTTGACGTTTGGTCCTGTGGAATAGTACTTACTGCAATGTTGGCTGGGGGTAAGAGCTGTTTAATCATGATAAAACTCGTCTCCTGTGGAAAGACAGATTTGTTATTCCAAAATTAATGAAATAAGCCAAGGGCATCCATATTTATATGACAGGATTTTAATAGTAAATTATTTATAATTAAGTTGCAACTTTTAATCCCAAAGCTTTTAAAAAATGAGGTATGTATAGGCTATTAAACGAAATGCAACAGTAGCTCTCGCTTTTAAGATTCATGTGAATACTTTTGGAAAGAGTAGGGCAGGAAGTGATTCGGCTCATCTATCTTTGAGTGCTTCTGAAATTTTTGTGAGCTGGTATTCTTAGTTTGAAAACGATTGATGTAACTAGGAGGAAATGGATTTGTATTGTTAATTATTTTCCCTGGAATCTTTACTGCATGATGATATGAACACTCAAGAAACTTGTTTCTTTTTTAGAATTGCCATGGGACCAGCCCAGTGACAGTTGTCAGGAATATTCTGATTGGAAAGAAAAAAAAACATACCTCAACCCTTGGAAAAAAATCGATTCTGCTCCTCTAGGTAACTGATTGAAAGTACTGATTTCTTGGATAATGAAGTGTAGTGCTGTTTGATTATTTTTTCTTACATTTTCTTTTTAACTTTTAAGTTATCATATAAGTAATCTATAATCCTTGTAAATAAATATAAAAATGATTTAAAATTTTTGAAAATTGATTTCAGAGAGAGAGAGAAAAAAACATCAATGATGAGGGAGAATCATTGATCGACTGCCTCCTCAAGCCCTACACTGGGGATCGAGTTGCAACCTGGGCGTGGTTCCCTGACCTGGTTCATAGGTCAACACTCAACCACTGAGCCACACTGGCCAGGCAATAAAAAATTTTTAAAAACCAGTCCTATAATCCCTGAGAAATAGCTTATTTTAATATTTTGATATATGCTTCTATACTTTGTTGCAAAATATATGTATTTATGTGTGTTTTTACAAAAAATGACATTACACTACGTACACACAATATTTTGTAATCTTTTTGTGTGTGTGTGTTAATGCTTTGTGAACTTTTCCTATGATTGTAATTTTAGGCCTATGTCATTGTTTATAAAGACTCTGAAGGTGTTATACTATATGGACATTCCTTATTATACTCATCCGGTTCACTTTTTTAGAGTTCTAGATTTTTTTCTAATTTCTTCCTGTTATGAAAGAGAGACAATGATCATCCACATAACTAAATCTTTGCACATATCTTTAACTTATTTTATTAAAATAAAACCCCAGAAGTGGAATTGCAGGGTGAAGGACATTTGTAGTTTTGTTTTTTTGTTTTTTTTTGTTTTTTTTTGACAACATCAACTTTTAATAATGGAAACAAATTGCCACTCCAAAAACAATTTAGGGAAGAAAAATGTTCCCTATAAAAATAAACTTACACTCCTCAAAATTATAAATATTATAACTTTTTACGTCTGCAATTTAAAATGCTCCCCTGCAATATTTCCCCTCTTCATTTGACATCATTCCTGTACCATCACATAGTGAAGAGAAAACAGTATTACATTTGTAGTTTTTAATTATTCTAGTTTACTTTGCCACGTTGTTTTTCAGAAAGTTCATATATTTCATCACAATGTCATTAATTTACCTTAAAAAATATTTAATAGGCCTATAAAAATATATTCAGTGTTTTTTGTTTTTTAAATTTAGTACCAATGACATTGTATATCTTCAATGTATTTATTAGCTTTTTAAACGTATTAATGTCATTAGATCTTCGCATTTTTTATTGAATTTATTGGAGTGACATTGGCTAATAAAATTATGTAGGTTTTAGGTATACAATTCTGTAATACATCATCTGTATATTGTATTGTGTGTTCGCCATCCCAAGTTAAGTCTCCTTCCATCACCATTCACTTACCCTCTCCTACCTTACAATCTTTGCATTTATTACAAATACTTTTCACAATTTGTCATGTGCTTTTATTTTATTTATGCCATTTTGACATGCAATAAGTTGTGCATTTTTACTTAATTAAATCTATTATCTTGTCCTTTGTGGTTCCTGGCGATATTGTCATGTTTGGAAAGGTCTTTTCTATTCTAATGTTAAAAAAAAAATTCCCCATTACCTGTTTTTTTTTTTTTTTAATTTAAGCCTTTTGTCCATTAGAAAATTATTTTTGTGGTTGGAGATATATGAATCCATTATCAAGGTAATTAGGATGCTGGAAAGTAAAATTTTAAAATAAAACTGTGTGAATGAGTACTTAACATGACATTGGAACAAGTTTGGTATTGCAAATGGATAAGTTGTATCTTTTTGTTAATGTTGTCAGCTGGGGAGGAGCAGTTCTACCTGGCTGTTACACTACTATCTGCAAATAATTGAAAATCAGACCTGGGCAGACTATTCTAAGATATAGACAGTAGCAAAGAACAACTGCATGAAATTAAAGCAAGAATTTAGTAGCTTTAATAATTTATTCTTTCTATTCCCCAGAAATGATATTTGGACATAAGGAGAACAAGAGAGAGATGAGTTCCATACCACAAGCTATAGGCTTTTCTAATCTGCATGACTCTTTTGTAAATGTTTGTCTTAATGTTTTTTTTTTCCAGCTCTGCTGCATAAAATCCTAGTTGAGAATCCGTCAGTAAGGATTACCATCCCAGACATCAAAAAAGATAGATGGTACAACAAACTACTCAAGAAAGGTAGTATCCTTAAAATACAAGTATTTTTATTCTGTGAAATTAGGAATTTGACAAGAGTGCAGACGTTTTGAAATAATCATTGTGGAGAAAGGGAGAGGAAACTGTCGAGAGAAACACAGGACTGACTCAGTTGAGGATCAGCTGAGGATAGTAACCGTGAATTGATAGTGGCATCATTTTCTGTTTAACGAGTGTTCTTGTTACAGCGTCTCCAGTGGAGCAAGGAATGTTGGATAGAGCAAATTCATAATGTTCATTGCCATGATCATAGATTTTTTTTTCTTTAGCTAGGTTTCTCTGCCCTCATAGAACATTTTTCTATTACCATAAAAGGTACCAATAAAATTATGGCCTTGTACTCCACACGTGGAACACACTTACTGATCAATATTTGTATAATTTGACAAGTGAAGCCTAGTCAGTTCAAAACGACCACATTTCTCATAAAATCGTGTAGAAGGAGCCACTATTTGTTGGATAAGTATTTTGGTGTTAAATGAACTTAGATGTAGTTTCACTTCTTCAGATTGCCAGTTATATTAATTTAAAAGTATCGGCATAGAAGACTTTGAAAGCATTTGTATTTATTTTATTTTATTTATTTATTTTATTTTATTTTATTTTATTTATTTTATTTATTTTATTTTATTTTATATTTTATTTTATTTATGTTATGTTATGTTATTTCATTTCATTTCAATTTCATTTCATTTATTTCATTATTTCATTTCATTTCATTTCAATTTATTTTATTTTATTTTATTTATTTTATTTTATTTTATTTATGTTATGTTATGTTATTTCATTTCATTTCATTATTTCATTTCATCATTTCATTTCATTTATTTTATTTTATTTTATTTTGTTTATTTTATTTATTTTATTTATTTTATTTTATTTATTTTATTTTATTTATTTTATTTATTTTATTTTATTTTATTTTATTTATTTTATTTTAATTTTAATTTTAATTTAATTTTATTTTTTAGGAGCAAAGAGGCCCCGAGTCACTTCGGGTGGTGTATCAGAGTCTCCTGGTGGATTCTCTAAACACATTCAGTCCAATTTGGATTTCTCTCTAGTAAACAGTGCTTCCAGGTAAGATTAATTAATCAACATCAAGTGCCTGTGGAAGGTGATATCCCCCATGTAAAGTAATATTTATATGTATTTTATGTTAATAGTGATTATCAATTTTATTGGTGTGAGAATTGTAATGTGATACTAAAAAGCCTGATACATTTTATTTAAAGTTATATATTTCCCCATATCTTAATGTCTTAGTGAAGAAAACGTGAAGTACTCCAGTTCCCAGCCAGAACCACGGACAGGTCTTTCCTTATGGGACACCAGCCCGTTATACATTGATAAACTGGTACAAGGGATCAGTTTCTCCCAGCCCACGTGTCCGGATCATATGCTTCTGAATAGTCAGTTACTCGGCACCCCGGGATCCTCACAGGTAAGAGAATTTAGTTTGTAAGGTGAATAATGGAAGCCGTGTGTTTTTTATTGTCTTAAAGTCTCTCTGTTAAATGTGTAAATCTTAAAGTATTAACACTTTATATCGATTTTTTTCTGACAAGGAAGAAATAATTAGAAGAGACCTTTATGTATAAGAACCTTAAATCACAGAAAAAAGAATTTTAAGACTAAATAGCTGTATGTCTCCTTTTGGTGATAACAGATTTATCCTGCTTTTCTTTGTTTGGCATGTAGAACCCCTGGCAGCGCTTGGTCAAAAGAATGACACGCTTTTTTACCAAATTGGATGCGGACAAATCTTACCAGTGCCTGAAAGAGACTTGTGAGAAACTGGGCTATCAATGGAAGAAGAGTTGTATGAATCAGGTATATTTCATTCATTCTTCATTGTATCTTTTCCTGAAGAAAAATTTAAATATTTGACTAAAAAACTATCATCAGTATATTTTTAAAATATAGAGTAATTAGTTTGAAAAAGAAACAATGGAAATTGAAGGAATTTAAGTAAAATGTTAACTTAAATATTTTTTAAAGACTTCTCTAAGTTATTGAAAACATTGAGAGTCAAGTAATTATTTTCTCAAAATCGATCCATACTTAAATTGTAAAAGTAACAATCGACTTCCTTCTATGAAAGATGAATACATTAACAATCCCACACTTTCTCCATGTCCTCTGCTCCCATCTACCAGTTTTTGTTTATATCATTACTAGAGGCCCGGTGCATAGGATTTGCGCACTGGTCGGGGGCATGGCCTGTGGGGATTGGCCCACTGTGGGAGCTCCGCTCATCCCGGTCAGCCGAGTGGCTATGGACCCGCCCTCTGAGGTCTGCTCTCTGGTCTGGAGCAGAGCACTCGCCTCCCCAGGGGACCCATTCAGGGCCAGGCCCAGGGACAATAGCACTGAGAGGCTGCAGAGTAGGCCTCAGTCCCGTGGCATCCATGAACCCACCTCCCAGCCTCCGGGGTCAGGTCTGCGATCCCCTTGCGGGCATTCGGAAGAGGTGGCAGGTAACGAGGAGGCAGAGGAGGAGGAGCCTGGGGTAAGGAGTTGACAATCGCAGCCCGGGCTCCTGCCCATTGGCTCCAGGTTCGCAGTGGGAGCTGCTGGTCATCCTGGCCGGCCGAGCGATGCTCCCACTGTGGTAGTGCACTGACCACCAGGTGTAGCTCCTGCGTTGAGTGTCTGCCCCCGGTGGTCATTGCGCATCATAGCAACTGATCGACCAGTCGTTCTGCCGTTCGGTTGCTGGGCTTTTATTATATAGGATAGCATATTTGGAACATTGACATTCTATTATCTTTAGGCTTTTCAAAACTCTTGTGAAAAACCAATAGGGGAATATTTCCTAGTATTAAAGGAGACTAAAGGGGCCTGATAAATAATGCAATCACTAGGTCATGGATTTAAAGGAAAAAAGCTATAGCAGATGTTCTTGGATCAATTGGGGAAATTTGAATATGGGTTTTATATTAGGTAATGTTTTTGTATCAGTGTCAGATTTCTTGGGTATGATCATAAAATTGTAATTTGTCAGAGAATGTCTTGGGTTGTAGGAGAAATATGGTGAAGTTTATGCTGTTTATAACTTAGTTTAAAAAGAAACAACCAACCACATAAAAAAACCCTACACCACATCCTTATCTAGGTCGGTAAGGCCAATGAAGGGTATGGCTTTATTTATTATACGGTTCCTTCAGTTTTTCTGCAGATATGTGAGCTTTAACAATTAGAAGTTAGGAGAAAATGCCACTGTGCAGAAATCTGAAGCCAGCCTGATTGTCCTCTCACTTGTATAAATAATTCGCTCTTTTTTTTAAGGGTAGATTTAATGAGATAAAATTCACATAACAGGAAGATCATTGCTTTAACTATTTTAAAGTGATTTTCAGCATATTCACAAGATTGTACAACTTGCATCATCATTTCATTCCAGAACATTTTCTCATCCCCAAAATAAGTTGTACTTCTTTATTAGCAGTCACTTCTTACTCTTTCTTTCTTCATTCCCTGCCAACCACTAATTTACTTTCCATCTATGGACTACCTATTCTGGACATTTCATATAAATGGAATCATATGATATATGGCCCTATGTGTCTGCTTTTACTTAGCATAATGTTCTCAAGGTTAATCCATGCTGTAGTATTTAGCAATACATATAGTATATTCCTTTTTATGCGTTGATAATATTTCATTGTATGGGTAGACTACACTTTGTGTATACATTTATCTGTTGATGGACATTTGGGATGTTTGTAGTTTTAGGCTATTTTGAATAATGCTGTGATCATTCTTATACAAGCTTCTGTGTGAACATATGTGTTTGCAAGGGCTGTCATAACAAAATATCCCAGACTGGGTGTTTTAAACAACAGTTATAGAGGACTTTCTATTGAATTTCTTTTTGGGTAATTCTGGTACTTCCAAACTCATATTTTAACTGGGACTTTTTTTTTTTTTTTTTTTTAATGCATAGTCTCGCTGGATATGGAGTTCTAGCTCAACAGTTTCTCTTTCAGCACTTCGAATATGTCATCCCACTGCCTTTTGGCTTCCCACCCAAACATCTGGCTTAACCTTATTTTTATTGCCTTAGGTTACTGTATCAACAACTGATAGAAGAAACAATAAACTGATTTTCAAAGTGAATTTGGTAGAAATGGATGAGAAGATCTTGGTTGACTTCCGGCTTTCTAAGGTATATAGGACAGCACATATCTTTTTAAAAAACTTAGTTTTGCTTAAAGAGTATTTTTACACATTCATTATAGAAATTTAAAAAAATACAAAAAAAGTTCAAAAAAATACAAAAAAGTTGAAAGAAGGAACTCAGAATCAAGTTTAATCTTATCATCCAGAGAGAACACACATTTCTATTGTTGTTAATCCTCACCTGAGGATATTTTCCATTGATTTTTTTTTTAGAGAGAGTGAAAGGGAGAGGGGAGACAGAGAGAAAGAGCAACATCGATGTAAGAGACACATTGATTGGTTGCCTTCCACATGTGCCCTGACTGGGGCTAGGGATCGAGCCTGAAACCAAAGTACATGCCCTTGACCGAAATTGAACCCAAGACCCTTCAGTCTGCAGGCTGACGTTCTATCCACTGAGCCAAACCAGCTAGGTCCAGATTTATTTTGATATATTTCATTATAGTAGTCTTACTGCTACTAATAGTATATACTATGGAGAGTTTATGTGGAAGTTATTTTAAGATGTTATTATATTTATATATACATGGCATTTATAAATATATTGAATTGCTATTATCTTTTCTATAAAAATTTTGATTTGTCAGAAATGTTTGCACATTGTAATTAATGAACCATTATCTATTAATAATCCTCTGCGTAATATCCAGATACATAGAGTTTTACTCACATTTATGATTTTTTTTTAGAAATTATTAGAGCTGAGGTTATATATAGTTTTAAAGCCTTTGGTATATATAAGACAAAAATAGCGTCTTCTCTATTTCCTGAGAGATTGTATGAGCTCTAAAGGAGGTTGGAGGAGAAGGTCACATTCTGTATATGGGAGATTTCCTGCATTACTGTTGTCCAGATGCTTGGTATGGAATTATATTATTAAGATCCTAGTGTGATAATGTTTGTTTTGTTTTTTGTTTTTTTTTATAACTGAATCACTGGCTTTGTTGCCACAGTATTTTGAGAAGGCTTCGGTATAGTTGCGTAGCTTATTCTTAGTTTACATTTTTCCAATACCTATGGAAAACAATGACGTAGGGCCCGAGATACCAACGCTTAAAACAGACAGGCTGTCATTGTATTTGCTCTCTGAGCCCAGTGTTGTGGGAACAGTGATGGGCCCTAAAATCAAGTCAGAATTATTTATTTTAGCCATTTCTTCTCCCAAGATAATTGGTCTAAAAGGGGAATGGTAGCTGGACGCATCTGTAGATGTTTTTCTCTGCATACCGCCACAGAGGTTTTGATTTTTTTTTGACATTATTTTTTGTATTATTCCTAACATAGGGTGATGGATTGGAATTCAAGAGACACTTCCTGAAGATTAAAGGCAAGCTGAGTGATGTTGTGAGCAGCCAGAAGGTCTGGCTTCCTGCCACCTGATAGAGCCATCGGCTTTGGGATTCCTGGTGAATATAGTGCTGCTATGTTGACATTATTCTTCCTAGAGAAGATTATCCTAATCTGCAAACAATAGTCCCTGAAGAGTTGTCTTCCTCCTAGTCAACCATTTTCCAATTATTTTGTAATTTCTGCATAAAAATAATACCTATATTTTAATTGTAAATAAGACTTTGGGGAAGGGATAGATAGAATTCATTAGATACTTTTTCATCTGTGTTTAGTGTCTGAATTTGAGACCCACCTGGTGAAAACCAAGCTTTGGGGATATATGAGTTTACCAGCTTTTATACCAATATAATGAAAGATGATATTCTTGTCTCATTTTTACCAACACAATTGGTTTTATCTAGAAAGTACAGATTGCTTCCACCTTGATTTAAGTGGATGAATTAGTGAAAAAAGGAAATCCTTGTGGCTTTTGAACAGTAGATTTATCAGTCTGTGAAGTGAAGTTATCTTCAAAAAATATATCCCCAAGATTGGTACTCATTTTCAGAAGGGCCTGGCCAGGTATCTAAACCCATTATTGAATTATAATTATTCATTGGAATTACAAGTTGGTATGTTTTTTCCATTATAGTTAATAAAATATAAATATAAAATGCTGGTTGGTCTTTCAAGTAGAAGTTGAGCATAAACTCTAGTGCATAACTACCTTTAAAATTACTGTTGCACATTTTAAATATTTTTCTACATTCTCTACTTTCACGGCCATATTTTAATTCTTTATTACAGAAATAAATTCTATTTTGAAAATAAATAACTAACTCTGTGAACTTACTGGTGACTAAGCTTCCAGGTGGTAAGAAATAAAAAAGGAGTCAGAAATAAGGAAGCTATAGTAGAAGTAGATCTGATTCCTCATTCTTTTATCTATGAGATTTACTAAGACTTTATTCTAATACACTTTATATTAACTTGAATGTATTAGGTTCAGACCCTGTATTCCTATTTCTTGGTAATTTATGAAATCACTCATCTTAGTCTGAAGTCAAGGACATACGAAATTTTATTGTCCAAGTTTATCATATATTAGTGTATATGTACCAGTAAATTGTTCTACTGCAGTATACCCATAGGAGGAAGAAATTTGAACCGATAGATGGCTCCTAGGAATTGAGCCAGTAAATTCTTAAATATGAAGAAATTTTGTTCTTGAAGATTGCTATCCAACCATCCATCAGTAACTCAAAAACAAATCATTTCTGGCTTTGACCTCCCCTGAGTTCTAGACTTTTGTAGCTACAGCCTGCCTACCATTTCCTCTAGCCTAATAGTCAAGACCCAAAATAACTTTTTATTTTATTGTTTTTATTAATTTTAGAGAGGAAAGGAAGAAAGAGATAGAAACATCAATGATGAGACAGAATCACTGATCTGTTGCCTCCTGCTCCCCCCCCTCCCCCCCTACAGCTGCCCCACTGGGGATTGAGCCCCCAACCCGGGCATGTGCCCTGCTGGTAATTGAATCATGACCTCCTTGTTTATGGGTTGATGCTCAGCCTACCACTGAGCCATGCCAGCCGGGCAAGGAAGTTTGTAATTTTAATGTAGTCCAATTAAGATCTTTCCTTGGCTAACATTTTTTTGTTTCTTATTTAAGGATTCATTCCCTACTATAAGTTTATGAGAAATTTCTTCCATATTTTAAAAGATTTATTTATAGTTTTTGATTACACAGATCTACAATCTACCTGAAAATGTTTTTTTGTATAATGTAAGATAGAGGTCAAGTTTCACTTTTTTTTTAAATATACTTTATTGATTTTTTTTACAGAGAGGAAGGGAGAGGGATAGAGAGTTAGAAACAGTGATGAGAGAGAAACATTGATCAGCTGCCTCCTGCACACTCCCTACTGGGGATGTGCCCACAACCAAGGTACATGCCCTTGACTGGAATTGAACCTGGGACCCTTCAGTCTGCAGGCCAATGCTCTATCCACTGAGCCAAACCGGTTAGGGCTCAAGTTTCATTTTTTCCCCCATATTTGGCTATCCGTTTAGTACTGGTTATTGAAAAGATTATTATAGCTAGTAAAATTGAAGCAATTATAAAAACAACTTTCAATAAACAAAAGTTCTGGGCTGGATGGCTTAACAGGTGAATTTTATCAAACATTCAGAGATGAATTAACATCTATCCTTTGAAAATTATTCTAAAAAATTCTAGAAGAGGGAAGATTCCCAAACTCATTTTAAGAGGCCAAATAATTCCAAAACCAAATAAAGACACTACAAAGAATGAAAATTATAGGCCAATATCCCTGATGAACATAGATGCTAAAATTCTCAACAACATATTAGCAAACCATATCTAATAATACATTAAAAAGATCATATACCACCCTATCTGGTTTGGCTCAATGGATAGAGTATTGGCCCGCAGAGTGAAGAGTCCCGGGTTCGATTCCAGTCAAGGGCAGATGCCTAGGTTGCAGGCTCGATCCACAGTAGGGAGTGTGCAGGAGGCAGCCAATCAATGATTCTCATCATTGATGTTTCAATCTCTCTCCCTTGCTCCCTCTAAAATCAATAAAAATACACCATGATCAAGTGGGCTTTATTCCAGGGATGCAAGGTTGGTACAATGTCTACAAATCAATAAATTTGATACACCACATTAAAAAAATGGTTAAAAACCACATGATTATATTAATAGATGCAGAAAAGGCATTTGATAAAATCCACCACCCATTTATGATAAAAACTCAGCAAAATGGGAATAGGGGAACATACCTCAATGTAATAAAGGCTATATATGACAAACCCACAGTAAACATCATACTCAATGGGCAAAAACTACAAGCATTTCCCTTAAGCTTGTCAGGAACAAGACAGGGATGTCTGCTTTTCCATTCATTCAACAAAGTCCTAGCCACAGCAATCAGACAAGAAGAAGATATAAAAGGCATTCAAATTGAAAAGGAAGACATAGAACTTATTTGCAGATAACATGATTCTGTATATAGAGGATCCTAAATATTCCACCAAAAAAACTAGAACTGATAAATGAATTCAGTAAAGTAGCAGGATAAATATCCAGAAATCAGTTACATTTTTATATACCAATAATGAACTATCAGAAAGGGAAACTCAGAAAATAGTCCTATTCACAATTGCTTAAAAAAAAAAAATACGTAGGACTAAACAAACCAAGAATGTAGAAGACCTATACTCAGGAATTATAAGACATTAAAGAAAGAAATTGAAGAATATACAAATAAGTGGAAGTGTATACCATGTTCATGGATAGGAAGAATTAGCATCATTAAAATGTCCATACTTCCCAGAACCGGTTTGGCTCAGTGGATAGAGTGTCGGCCGGCGGACTCAAGGGTCCCGGGTTCGATTCCGGTCAAGGGCATGTACCTTGGTTGCGGGCACATATCCATACTACCCAAAGCAATCTGTATATTCAATGCAATTCCTATTAAGATACCAATGGAGTATTTTAAAGAACTAAAACTATTCTAAAAATTTATATGGAATCACAAAAGACCCAAATAGCCACAGCAATCCCGAAAAAGAACAAAGTTGGAGAAATCACACTACATGATATCCAACTATATTATAAGACCATAGTAATCAAAATAGCCTGGTGCTGGCATAAAAACAGACATATAGATCAATGGACCAGTATAGAGAGCCTAAAAATAAACTGATGCCTTTATAGTCAATATTTGACAATGGAGGCAAAAACATGTGCAGTGGTTCTCAACCTTCTGGCCCTTTAAATACAGTTCCTCATGTTGTGACCCAACCATAAAATTATTTTCGTTGCTACTTCATAACTAATGTTGCTACTGTTGTGAATCATAATGTAAATATCTGATATGCAGAATGGTGTTAGGCGACCCCTGTGAAAGGGTCGTTCGCCCACTAAAGGGGTCGCGACCCACAGGTTGAGAACCGCTGAGTGGGATAAAGATAGCCTATTCAATAAACGGTGTTGGGGAAATTGGATAGATACATGCAAAAAAAATGAAACTAGACCACCTTCTTACGCCATACACAAGAATAAAAATATGGATTAAAGACTTAAATGTAAGACTTGAGACAATACAAATCCTAGAAGAAAACAGGCAGTAAAATCTCAGACATTTCTCATAGCAATAATTTTTCTGAAATATCGCCTCAGGCAAGGGAAACAACAAATAAAAACAAGCAAATGGGACTAAAGCAAACTAAAACGTTTCTTCACAGCAAAGGAAACCAACAAAATGAAAAGACAACCAGTGATACAGCTGATTAGGGATTAATATCCAAAATTTATAAAGAACTTACAAAACTCAACACCAAAAAAACAAATAATCCTATTAAAAAACGGGCAAAGGACCTGAATAGTCTCTTCTCCAAAGAGGACATACACATGGCCAATAGACATGTGAAAATGTGCTCAATATCACTAATCATCAGCGAAATGCAAATTAAAGCCACAATGAGATATTACCTGTCAGAATGGCTATTACCAATAAATCAACAAGTATTGGTGTGGATGTGGAGAAAAGGGAATCCTTGTGCGCTGTTGGTGGGAATGCAGATTGGTGCAGCTACTGTGGAAAGCAGTATGGAGCTACCTCAAAAATTAAAAATGGAATTACCTTATAAACCAGCAATTCCACTTGTGGGAATATATCCAAAGAAACCCAGAACACAAATTTGAAATGTTCATTGCAGCATTATTTACTATAGCTAAGATCTGGAAACAGCCCAAGTGCCCATCAGTAGATGACTGGATAAAAACGCAGTGGTACATTTATACAATAGACTACGACTCGGCCATAAAAAAGAAGGAAATCTTACCCTTTGGGATAGCAGGGATGGATCTTGAGTGAAATGCTAAGTGAAATAAGCCAGTCAGAGAAAGACAAGTACCATATGACTTCACTCATTTGTGGAATCTAAGGAACAAAATAAACTAACAAACAAAATAGAAACAGACTCATAGAGAACAGACTGACAGTTGTCAGAGGGGAGGGGAGTTGCAGGGCTTGGTGAAAAATGTGACAGGATTAAGCAATTAAAAAACATACTCATAGACACAGACAACAGTACGGTGATTACCAGAGGGAAAGGTATGGGATCGGGCAGAAGAGGGTATAGGTGGAATAAATGGAAGGAGACTTGGTGTGGTGAACACACAATATAATAAACAGATGATGTAGTATAGAAATTGTACACTTGAAACCTATGTAATTTTATTAACCAGTGTCATCCCAATAAACTCAAAAAAAGGGGGGAAAAGAGAAAAGATTATCCTTTTCTTACCACTCTTCATTGATATACATTCAGTGTTTACATTTTCTTATTTTTTTATAGTATGTTTTTAAAAAAACTATATTTTTATTGATTTCAGAGAGGAAGGGAGAGGGAGGTATAGAAACATCAGTGATGAGAGAGAATCATTGATGGGCTTGCCTCCTGCACATCCCCTACTGGGAATCTAACCACAACCTGGGCATGTGCCCTTGACCCGAATCGAACTTGGGACTCTTCAGTCCACAGGCTGACGCTTTATCCACTGAGCCGAATCGGCTAGGGCTGTATGTTTTGAATTAGAATCCAAATAAAGCCTACACTAGCAATTGACTGATGTCTTTTAAGTTATTTTTGGTCTATAAATTCCCCCTTCATCCTCCCTCTCTCTGATTTTTTCCCCCTTGCAATTACAAAAAAAAAAGGTTTTTACTGATTTTATAGAGAGAGGAAGGATAGATAGAAACATCTTAAGAAACATCAATCAGCTATCCCCTGCACGCCCTCTACTGGGGATCAAGCCCACGACCCAGGCATGTGCCCTGACCGAGAATTGAACCCGTGACCTCTTGGTCAAGGCTCAACTATTAAGCCACACAGGCCAGGCCCCCTTGCAATTTTTATTGGTAAAATAATCCAGCTGGTTTACCCTATAATTTTCTTTCGTCTGAATTTGTTGATTTTATTACTATGGTACAGTTTCATCTTTCCTCTATCCTTTGTGTTTTCTGTAAATATATACATTCATGATACTAGTCCTGTGTCAATTAAATGTGCTTCATATAAGCATTTAAAATCATAAATTTTCCTCTAAGTACCACTTTATGCCACACATTTTCATGTGTTGTATTTTTGTTATCTGTGTCAAATGGTTTTCTAATTTCTTTATGATTTATTTTTTGACCCAGGGGCTATTTAGAATTATGTTTCTGAATTTCAAAATTAGGACTTGTTTTTAATTAAAAGCTTTTATTGAGATAATTTATACGCCATAAAATTCACCCTTTAAAATGTACCCTTCAGTGGTTTTTAGTATGTTCACAAAGTTGTGCAACCACCACCACCACTGTCTAATTCCAGAACATTGACATCACTTCAGAAGAAACCTTTTACCCATTAGTAGTCATCACTTTTTCCCCCCTCAGCCCCTGAGAAACACTAATTTCTGTCTGAATTGATTTGCTTATTCTGAACACTTAATAGAAACAGAATTATATAATTTTGTGCCTGGCTTCTTTTACTTAATATTTTCAAGGTTCATCCATGTTGTATCAGTACTCCATTCCTGTTTATGGCTTGAATAACATTTCATTGTATTTTATTGTTCAATCAATGGACATCATAGTCTTAAATGTAAAATAAAAGACCATTAAACTTTCAGAAATAACATAGGAGAAAATCTTCAAGATCTAGTCCTAGACAAAGCATTATTATTCTCTGTCTAAGAGACACAAAAATATCATCCATAAGAGGAAAAACAATTAAACTTCATTGAAATGAAAAAACACACACACATTTGCTGTTTTTAGACCTATTAGGATAAAAAGGCAAGCTACAGAATGGGAAAATGTTTGCAAACCATGTTGTAGCATGTTTCAGATCGGATTTTGTTCCTTTCAAGGCTGCATAATCATTTCGTTGTTTTTGTATACCATCTTTTATTCATCCATTGATCCTTTGATGGACATTTGGATTGCTTCTACCTGTTGGCTATTGTGAATAATGCCACTACGAATGTGGGTGTGCAAATACCTATCTGAGTCTCTGCTTTCAATTCTTTTGGTTATATCCCTAGAAGTGGAATTGCTGGATCATATGGTAGTTGTATTTGTAATTTTTTGAGGAACCATCCCGCTGTTTGCCACAGAGACTGCATCACTTTACATTCTCAGCACCTAACCAGAATCTCCTACCCAGGCATCTGCTCATCTGTAGGCCCCTACAGCTTTCACAAGAGGTGCTTACTGCTTCTCGTGGGTTTTTCAGCCTAAGATCAGAGCTGTTCTGCTTTTCCCTACCTGAGCTCCGGAGTTGATTAAGACAGGGTGGTCCTCAGGCAGCCCCCACACAGATTAGCACGTTGCAAACAGGGTCAGCTCCATTGGGTTGGGGGCAGTGTATTGGCAGTTGGACCACTGCCACCTTCTCTAGAAAAGGGGGTGGACCAAGGATGAGTGAAAACACCATGAAACTTCCTACCATGTTTAGGCTTTTTCTTGATTGGGGGTTCATTTGTTTGCTGTAGACCTTTGACTGTTTTCTAGCATTCCTACTAAATTATTTTCTCCGATCTTTAATTAAAAAAATATTCCCACAGGGAAAAGAGAGCCTGGAGTTACCTAGTCCATCATCTTGATGATGTTGCTCCTCCTCATTGCTGGGCTTTTGGTTGGAATTCTACTAAATTCTATCAACTTTGGGAGAATTGTCAGCTTTCCTGTGGTAAGTCTTCCAATTCATGAACACAACACATCTCTCCATTTCTTAAAATATCTTTGACTTCTTTCATCAGCATGTGTAGTTTTCAGTTTATACAGCCTATGCATATTCATTAGATTTATATCTACATTAGAGGCCCAGTGCACGAATTTGTGCACAGGTAAAGTCTGGCCGGCCCAGCCCCAACTGGGGTGGATCAGGGCCAGGCCTGTCAGGAGGAGGTGATGAAGGGAGGTTGGCCGGCCAGCCCACACTGATTGGGCTCAGCAGGGCTAGGCCAGCTGGGGGGAGGAGTCATGAGCGATTGGCTGGCGGGCCCCGCCCCTGGTTGGGGTGGGAGGGATTGGGGGCAGGGCTGGCTGTGGGGAGGGGCTGTGGGCAGTGGGCCAGCTGGCCCCACCCCCAAATGGGGTGGGGGTGCCGATCAGGGGTTAGCAGCTGGGGGAGGGGTGGTGGGAGGTTGGCCAGCCAGTCCCACCCCCGATTGGTGTGGGGGGGTGACCAGGGGTGGAGCTGGCTGGGGGGAGAGGCCTCAGGCCAATCGGGGTGGTGGGGGCCCACTGGGGGTGGGGCAGGCCGGGGGGAGGGGCTGCAGGAGGTTAGCTGACCAGCCCCACCCCCATATCGGCCAGTTTGCTGGCTGCAGTGGGCATCATAGTGACTGGTCGTTCTGGTCGTTCTGGTGTTCCAAACACTGGCTTTTTAAATATATATAGATAGTTCTCTTGTTGTAAGCCATTGGGAAGGATAGTGTGTTTTAGTTTGGGTGTTTAAGTGTTCATTGCTAGCATATAGAAGTACAATTGATTTTTGTACATTAATACTGTGTTCTCTGACCTTGCTGGACTAACTAAGAGTTTTTTCTGGATTTCTTCAAATTTCCTACATGGAGTATCATGTCATCTGCTAATAGGGACAGTTTCATTTCTTCCTTTCTGATCTTTATGCCTCTTACTTCCTTTTCTTTCCTTACTGCACTGACTGGAACTTATGTTGATTAAGATTGTTCCCAGACTTAGAGAGAAATCATCCTTTTTTTTTGTCATTACGGATAATGTTATCGGTAACGTGTGTTTTTAAGTTGAGGAAACTCTCGTCTGTTTCAGTTTTTCTGAGAGTTTAACCTGAATGATTGTTGAATTTTTGTAAATGTGTTTTTCTGTGTAAGTTGATACGATAAACTTATTTTTCTCCTTTAGCCTGCTATTATGGATTACATTGAGTTTCAAATATTGAGCCAGCTTTGCACCCACAAATAAAACTCATGGTGTATAATTCTTTCTACATCATACTTAATTCCATTTGATAGTATTTATTCAGGATTTTTTTGTCTGTATTCACGAGAGATATTGATCTATAGGTTTTCTTTCTTTCTATTTTTGTGTGTGTACTATGTTTGTCTGGTTTTGGTATCGGGGTAACATTAGTTTCTAAAATGAGTTGCTAAAGGTTCTCTCCCCCTCTGTTTTCTGGAAGAGATTGTGTAGAATTGGTGTAAATTTTTCTTTAAACATTTGGTAGAATTCTCAAGTGAAAACTTCACAGCCTGGAGATTGTTTTGGGGGGAATTTCTAGATTATAAATTCAATATTTTTAATAATTATAAAACTATTTAAACTACTCATCACATTAGTGAGCAAGTTGTGGTAATTTGTGTTTTTCAAAGAGTTGGTTTCTTTAACTAAGTTGTCAAATTTATGTGTGTAGAGTTGTTTATAGTATTCCCTTAGTAACTTTTTGAAGTCTTCAGGGTCTCTTTGTATCTTTTTTTTTTTTTGTCAGTTTTGCTAGAGGTTTAATTGATCTTTTCAAGCAACCATCTCTTCCTTTTATTGATTTTTCTCTATTTTTCTGTTTTCAGTATTACTGATTTCTGCTTTTACCTTCATTGCTTCCTTCTGCTTCCATTGGGTTTATTTTGCTTTTCATTTTCAAGGTTCTTGAAGATGGGAACTTAATTGACTTGAGCCTTTTTTTCCTTTTCTAAAGTGTGCATTTATTGCTATAAATTTCCCCCTCAGCACTGCATTAGCTGTGTTCCACAAATGTTATATTTTCCTTTTCAAAAGTATGATATATTTTATATTTCCTTTGATGCTTCCTCTTTGACCTGTGAATTTAGCAATATGTTCCTTCATTTCCAAGTCATCTATATGATTTCAATTCTCTTATTGTTTAAGTGTGTGCTATGGCCCACTATCTGGTCTGTTTTCTTGTATTTTCCATGGGCACTTGAGAAGAATGTATAAACTGTAATGGGGTAGGGTGTATAAACATTGATTAGATCCTTTTGGTTTATGGTATTTTGAGTTCTGTATCTTGGCTAGTTTTCTGTCCAGTTGTGTGTATTTGTTGCTTATTGCTGCTGTAACAAATTACCATGCATGGGCTTAAAACAACATAAACTTATTATCTTCCACTTTTGTAAGTCACAAGTGTGTGACACGTGACTCTGTGGGTTGAGATGTAAGTATTCGCCAGCCTGTGGTCCTCCGTGGAGGCATTTCCTTGCCTCTTCCAGCTTCTGTGGGCTGCCTACACTCCTTGGGTCATAGTCCCCTTTCTGTAACTTCACAGCAGAGACAGAGACTGTAACACTGATACCAGGCGAAAGGGGCGATGATAGCATTCCCACTTGCCCCTCGATGGCTGAGACAATCCAGTAACGTCGTGTATGAGGAAGGGATTTAAGCATTACGACCTGCTATATATTTATACAGCACTAGATAAAAAGGAGTCATTTTATTCTGATTATGTTAAGAGTAGACTCTTGAAGACTAAACACTGTCAAAGAAGGGGTGAATTTTGGACCCCATGGTAAGTAGAAGGGGATGGGGTTCCTGTAGGGAGTCAGAGAGGGACCCTCCCTCTGTTTACGCTTGTAAAACGTTAGTACCGACTTTGTATTCCTCTTTGTGGTCTCTGCCCTGGGGGATCCCTTCACTTTGACGAATGTGTGGAACGGTTTAAAAATGCATCTGTTTCCACGTGTGACGTGAAGGACAATCAGGCTGACCCTGCAACCGACGGAAAAGAAATCTGTCTGGAGTCTGTATTCTTTAACCATGCGGGATTTATTGAAAAACAAAAGAATGTTGAGAGATGGATTTGGGGAACAGAGAAAACAGAGGGCAGAGATGAGTGGGTAGGAGAGGCATGGTATGGAGCATCCAGTCTGACACTCAGGCAGAGGCACATGCGACTAGCTGTTGACTGGAAAAGAAACCAAATATAAACTGGGCCCAGATGGTGGGTGGAGGATTTTTGCTGCCTGAGTCAGAGCCAGCAGCAAGGAAGAGCACCAGCTTCTAGGTCTTGTTGCAGAAAGATGCATCCCGACAGCAGATAAGTTGCATCCTGGTTCCATGGGAGAAGAGGCTCATCGATGGGCACATATTCTCACATCCCTGAACCATGAATTCAAGTTTTCCACCTGAAAGAAGCAGAAACAGACTGTAGTGAGTGAGCAGAAGCCTTCATCCTGTGGTCCCCAGTGTCCTCATGCTGGCACGAGTGAGACCTCCCATTCCATTTGCCTCTGCTAGGCCCTTCCCTCCATCTGTTGCCCACTCCCTCTATTGAGGGACCGAACAAACTACAAGGGAAGTCAGGCAATGTGGTTTACAGGATGGAAGTAACCAAGATCCCTTATTTTGGGGATGAGGGTAGAGAGGGATAGCTATATACTCTGACAGTTCTGCAACCTATGGGCACAGACTGGTAGACAATTGTTTATTCATTTATTCAGTATTTACTAAATACCTACCATGTGCTGGACATTGTGCTACGTGCTAGGAATATATAGCCATGAACAAGATAGACACAGTCCTAAGCTTACAGTCAATGACTCAAGGGGAAACTCCTATTTCTTTAATAAGAAGAGACAGTCATTCTTCCTGCCTCCTTTTAAGACCTTCTGGGAAGGGACTCTATCTCTCCATCAGTAGAGAGATAAGGTTTTGAAAGGATAAGGTTTTGTTGAATTTCCAAGTTTCTGGGAAGCACAGCTTGATTCCTCCACAGGCCCCTGTCCCCTCCCTGCCACCCAACTACTCCCCATAAATACTCAAGTTGGTTGATGTGTTTTCTGGCAAAGATCGCCTCATGAAGTCCCCACTATACCTTCAAAGATCTTCTTTAACATGCACTGCTGGGAATTCTGAATGGTGCAGGATCCCTCTCCACGAAGACATTTTGCTTCACTATTCATATAAGAGCATGTGTGGCAGTTTATCGCTGGGCCTGAAAATTTAAGATAAGCCCTGATGAAATTCTCTTGTGTAGCTTTGAGTCACACCACTGGGGATGGATGATGGGCAACTTGTAGCCTGGACACAACACTTTTCATTTCTTGGTTCTTGTTGGGGATCTGAGGGCCCTGTGTCTCATAGAGCATATTCTTTCTTCTCTACCAGTGAAATCCCTTCATTCTTTCTGCTTCATCTATGATGTTCATTGCTGATGAATCCCAAATTTATCTCTCTGATACTGACTTTTGCTCCAATTCATATTTCCATTGGCTTCCTGGGCATTTATAATTAGATGTCTATTTATAGGTCTGCCGTGTCTAACAATAGGAGCAAAGAAGAACTTATTACATGACTGACGCCCTTTAGTACTCTCCTCCACTCTCTCACTTACCCACAGGCACAAACCCTTGGAGTAAAATTTGACTAATAAGCTACGTTAGAATGCTCTCATTTTGCTAACCCTATAAAGCAGTGGTTCTCAACCTTCTGGCCCTTTAAATACAGTTCCTCATGTTGTGACCCAACCATAAAATTATTTTCGTTGCTACTTCATAACTGTCATGTTGCTACTGTTATGAATCGTCATGTAAATATCTGATATGCAGGATGGTCTTAGGCGACCCCTGTGAAAGGGTCGTTCGACCGCCAAAGGGGTCGCGACCCACAGGTTGAGAACCGCTGCTGTGAAGAGTCTGTACCGTTCTCCATTTTCAAGTCGACCTTTATGAGAAGGTCAGTTTGTCACAAAGGGCA